AATGTGATTTAACTATAAGAATTCCTAAAACAGAATTTGAAGAGGAAAGGCATTAGGTAGATTATGTAATCCAGTCTCTGTTTTATGTATGTTTCTATTTTCCCACATTGCCAGAAGGGTTCACTGCGTCATCACCATGTAATGTCAATCTTTTGGGAGTCCCGTCTTATATCATGCTAAAATCTGCTTTGTTTTAACCCATCAGTAGGAATTCTAACTTTTATGGAACAAACTATGCTCTGTGCATGACTGCCCTTTACCTATTTATTGTTTTAAGTTTTATTTATTTAAGCAATCTTTACACCCCACATAGGGCTCAAACTCACAACTCTGAGATTGAGTCATACACTCTTCCAACTGAGCCAGTCAGGCCCCCCATGACTCCCTTTTAAATACATGAAGATAACTGTTGCATCATGCTTTAACGTAGCATAGTCTACCCATGTTAAACACATCTGTGCCTTCCATGATTCTTCAAAGGTGAGTCCTGGAACTGAAGCCAGTAATGAAGCCAATAATTATGTGCTTTATTGACAGTATGCTCCCAGGTGAGACGTTATGGGACCTCCCTGCTACTCATATTCCTACTAGCCTGTAGTACATGGCTCAGGTCATGATCCCAGGGTCCTGGGATCGAGTCCTGGGTCAGGTCCCTGCTCAGTGGGAAGCCTGCTTCTCCCTCTCCCACTCCCCCTGCTTGTGTTCCCTCTCTCACTGTGTCTCTCTCTGTCAAATAAATAAATAAAAATCTTTTAAAAAAATGTTTTTATAAAAAAAAAATAATAAATAAAATAACCAATATGACAAAGTTGCCCATCTTGGGGCAGCCTGCCCTTAGTCCCCAGAGCAGTCTTTTTTTTTTTTTTTAATTTTATTTATTTATTTGAGAGCGAGAACACAAGCAGGGGGAACATCAGAGGGAGAGAGAGAATCCCAAGCAGGTTCCACGCCCAGCACGGAGCCCTACACAGGGCTGGAGGGTGGGATCTCACGATCCTGAGATCAGAGCTGAGCTGAAACCAAGAGTCAGGTGCTTAACTGACTGTGCCACCCAGTCACCCAGGAGCGAGGTTCTTGCTAGCTGTTCCTTGGTCAGGAATTAAGTCTTGGTGTTCTATACATCAGGCACTTGTGGGAAGTCAGTCTCTAGCGTCTTAAGTTCCCTTCTAAAGATGCAATGCAGGAGAGTCTCCGTTTCATCCCCTCCAGTTCTGTTTTAGAGTGAAATCCTTTCTCAGGGACAAGGGTTTGAATGTCACCACTGGCCAAGGGTCTTGGACTTTTGAGACCAAAGATGCATATTCCCTGATCTCTGGGATTTTCACTTCCCTGTCCATCAGCTTCCCTCCTTAGGTGAGCCTCCTTCACCCTGTAAATGCACACTGTTTTCCACCTCTGAGCCCATGTCTCTCTGTCTTAGAGGAGCTCCTACTAGCCCCCAAGAGGCGGCAAACCTCTCCTCCACATTTTTGTAGCCAACCTGATTCTCCCTGGATCATCCTTGTAAGGGTGACAGAGGCACCTTTCACGCCCAGCCTTGCTCCTTGGTCTCTAATCTCTGGAGTCTCACTACAATGAGGAGATTTGCAAGGTTTGCAGCTACTCCCCAGATCCCCAGGAGGCAAGAAGTTGTCCTTTAAAGTCATATAACCTCTCTGTACCTGGAAGAACAGGATGACCCAATGACACAGACTTAAATCTGCATAACAACCATACCCTTGTTTACTCTGCCTGAAAATTTCCCATAACTGGCTCCCCTCCCAGTCCCCAACAGTGGCTCTTTTGTCTTTAGCTGGAGAGGTATTTAAGGTGGTGGCTTGAGCCATTTTGGGGAGTTTTCGTGGGTCTCTCCCAAGTATCCAGGGGGTATCCACATCATGCTTGTTTGTTTTTCTCCTGTTAATCTGTCTTTTTATTACAGGGGTGTCTCAGCCAAGAACCTAGAAGGGTAGAAGCTATGAAAATTAATAAAAGGAAGTATCTTTAAGAATGGAGTCAGAGGGCCAGCAGAGGGCGCTCTCACGCCCAGGGCGCCCGGTCAGTTTCAGATGCAACAGAAAGACCTTGCAGGTGGCTTTACTACCCCAGCAGGAGGAAAAAAGCCTTCCTCCCCTCCACCGCTTACAGCCCAGTCAATGAGAGACTATCTCAACTCAGCTGATGAAAAGCTAGTACACTTTGAAATCTCAGGTTGCTCCAGTGAACTTTTAGTTTATAACAACCTTCCCAAATTCCCCGATCCTCTACAAAAGGGCGTTTTCCTTTGCCCATGGCTTTGACTGTCCCAGACTGCAAGTCTCTGGCTATTGCTAAGTGAACCCATTTTTGCTGGTAAAATAACTGGCAGTCATATTTTTAAGGTTAAGGAGGAGATTAGTTTTCCTCTCCTACGTGTAGGACAGCGGTGAGACCTTGGTGAAGTGAGTAAGGGAGAGAGGGGTGGGAGACGGATTAGAGGTAGAGGTATGAAGGGGATCAGAACCTGCTACCCCAAAACATGCCAGATTAGATATGGGTTATGTTGAGCTGAAGGCAACTGAGACTCAAAAGAGGCAGAAAGACACCTCCTTGGAACTCCCTTATCTGACTAAAAGCAGACAATTCTGAGAAATGAGGTCTGCCAGAAATCCCTTCTCTGGGGGAATTTTATGGCCATGAGGCAGTTGGAAAGTCAGCACCGAGATGAGTCTGCACAAACTTTACTAACATAACCCTTATCGTCTATTAATTTCCCCATATATTTCCTTCCCACAATTCACAGCTCCCAGAAGCCAAGCCCCTCTTTCCTTTGTCAGCTCATTTCTCCACAATTTTTCACCCTTTGTTAAAATGGAATGTCAGCTTCCAAGGCTAACTGCTTCCTTGGATTTTTCATTTCTTTTCTGTGGAGTCCCCATGCACATAAAGTTGAAAATAAAATCTGTATGCCTTTTCTCCCGTTAATGTCTTTAATTGGCACATTCTAGCAACTGAACCTAAGAAGGTAGAGGAAAAGTTTCCTCCCTACAGGAAGGATGGGTCACTGTAGGATTTGTTTTTTATGGTGGGTAAGATGGTCTGAATAAAGGAGGGACATGATAGACTATAGTACAAACAGGGCAGAAGCAGGGAAAGCAGTCAGCAACATTTGCAATAATTGACTAAGAGATGCTGGTAGTATGGACCAGGGTGTAATGATAGATGTGGTGAGCGGTGGTGAGATTCTGGGTACTGTTAGATGATAAAAATTCAGTTAAATAAATGTGAAGATCTAATTGGCTTTATTAAATGATTCATGAATTGGGCAGCATCCCATCTAGCAGATAGAGGGGAACTCCACTGAGCTAAATTAAAGAAAGTTTTTTCAAAAGTAAAAATGAACTATTGGAACTTCATCAAGATTAAAAAAAAAAACAAAAAAACTTCTACACAGCGAAGGAAACAATGAACAAAACTAAAAGGCAACCCGTGGAATGGGAGGAGATATTTGCAAATGACGTATCTGATAAAGGGTTAGTATCCAAAATCCATAAAGAACTAATAAAACTGAACCCCCCCAAAACAAATAATCCCAGTTTAGAAATGGGTGGAAGACATGAGTAGACACTTTTCCAAAGAAGACATCCAGATGGCTGACAGACACACAAAAAGATGCTCAACATCACTGATCATCAGGGAAATACAAATCAAAACTATGATGAGATAGTCACGCCTGTCAGAATGGCTAAAATTAACAACACAAGATGTTGGCGAGGATGCAGGGAAAGGGGAACCCTCATGCACTGTTGGTGGGAATGCAAACTGGTGTGGTCGCTGTGGAAAACAGTATGGAGGTTCCTCAAAAACTTAAAAATAGGGCACCTGGGTGGCTCAGTTGGTTAAGTGACTGCCTTCGGCTCAGGTCATGATCCTGGAGTCCCAGGATCGAGTCCCGCATCGGACTCCCTGCTCAGTAGGGAGTCTGCTTCTCCCTCTGACCCTCCCCCCTCTCATGTGCTCTCTCTCTCTCTCTCATTCTCTCTCTCAAATAAATAAATAAATAAATAATCTTTAAAAAACAAAACAAAACTTAAAAATAGAGCTATAGTCCAGCAATTGCACTACTAGGTATTTATCCAAAGGATACAAAAAAAGATACAAAGGAGTACAAGCACCCTGATATTTATAGCAGCATTATCAACAATAGCCAAACTATGGAGAGAGCCCAAATGTCCATTGACAGATGAATGGAAAAAGAAGATGTGGTATATATATATATATAACGGAATATTACTCAGACATCAATAAGAATGAAATCTTGCCATTTGCAACGACGTGATGGAGTTGGAGTGTTTTATGCTAAGCGAAATAAGTCAGTCAGAGAAAGACAAATACCATATGATTTCACTCATATGTGGAATTTAAGCAAGAGAAAAGATGAACATATGGGAAGGGGGGAAGGAGAGAGGGAAACAAGCCATAAGAGACTCTTGAGGATAGAGAACAAACTGAGGGTTGATGGAGGGAGAGGTGTGGGGGATGGTCTAGATGGGGGATGGGCATTAAGTTGACCATGGCCTTAATGATGTGTGAGGGGCACTGGGTGTTATATGTAAGTGATAAATCACTAAATTCTACTCCAGAAACCGATCTTGCACTGTATAACTAAAATTTAAAATTAATTTAAAATTAAAGAAAGGTTTTTAAAGGCAGAGAGAGGGCATTAAAAAAAGAAGGAAGGAATTTATTAGCAAGGAATGCATTGTTTAGGCAAGGCCGCCCTCCTAAGGGGAGCGGAAGGAGTCTATAGTAAATTCCCTAGTATTGACCAGGAAATCCTGTGTTGACTGGTTGAAGGTTACATTCCTGGAGGGTGAAACTGCAGTTGGTTTAGGGATTAAGTCTTGGTTTCCTGATTTGGGGCTTTAACCTCAGTGATGCCATTTGGGGCCTGTGGTGGTGGTTGCTTTTTAAACAATCTAATTGGCTTTCTTAAGTGATTCATGGAGTGGGGAGCATCCTACCCAGCAAGTAGAGGGGAGCTCTGGGGAGGTGTACGAAATGGGAGGCTTTTACAAGAGGGAGGGTGGGATAAGTAAGTTATTAGCAAAAGAAAAGAAAAGATTGTCACAGGCAAGGTCACTTCCCTTAGGGGGAAAAGCAGAGGGTTTTATCCTGCAGATTACCTTCTTTTGCTTTGCCGTTAAGGATGGAGAGGCCCAGGGGGCAGACTACCTCACTAGTGCGGACGAGGAAGTTCCTGGCTGACCGCGTAAGACTGCATTTCTGGGGGAGGTCAGAACTGCAATCGGGTTAGTTATGAAGCCCAGGTTTGGTGACCTGGCCCAAGGGACACCATCTGGGGCCTGTAGTTTTCTTTTTAATGGTATATTTTGAAGTGTGAACTGGCACTGTTTACTGATAGATTAGACATGGCCTAATCTCTAAAGAAAAGACGGGAGTCAAAACTAATTCCGGTTTCCAGATATCCTTTCCTCAAGTCTGCGGGGGTGACATGAAGGGGAGCAGAATCTGCCACCCCAAAATACGCCATTGTGACACACTGGTTTTGTTTTTTTTTAGTTAAAGCTACTTGAGAAACAGCCAGTGCAAGAAGGATAGTCTGACCCTGCTTGTCTCCCTGAAAACAAGAGGTAAGTCTCCCATGTGAAAGGTACCCTCCCTGTACCAGCAGGGTACAAGGCATCTTTATCACTAGAGATAGGGAATCTAGGGCTGTTAAAAAGAAAACCACAACTGAGGGATAGCAGAATAATCCACACCGAAATAGACTGATTTTTTTTTTTTTTTTGAGAAAAAGCAGACCCAGAAGCTCTAAAAACAGAGTAGAAGGTACCCTTTTGTAAAGATGATTTACATTTAGAAGAGAAATCTCCATTTGTAAGGGTGACTCCCTGTCTATACCGGGAAGAGAGTGATGACTGTAAATCACTAGAAATTCTATGGGGGAGGTGGGGAGGGGAGGCCCCAGACTTAAGTCTGTATAGCAACTTTACTGTGCTTTGCCTGGCAACTTCCCATAACTGCCTCTTTCCCACCCTCACCTCAACATCTTTAGCCGAAGTGGCTTGGGCCGTTCTGGAGAGTTTTCCTAAGTACAGCTCTCTCCTATGGAGACCTGAGGTATACCTGTTATTAAACTCGCTTGTTTCTTCTTGTTCATCTGTTTTGTAATGGGGGGGGGGGGGGGCTCAGCCAAGAGCAATGAAAGATAGAGGGAAAGTTGTTTTCCTCCCCAACAGAGCCTATATCAATAGGGGTAGAGAGAAAATCAAGTTAATAATAATGCAATATGTTTCCTCTCTCTGTCTTGTCAGTTCACAGATGTATCGTTTCTTTGTCTGAAAGGTATACAAGCTCCCTGCTTTGGTCACTTGGTTGAGTCTCGTATTTTGATGGGGCTCCCATACTAAGAGATTAAATTCGTTTTTCTCCAGTGCCTCGGTCTTACGTCAGTTTGATTATTAGGCCAGCCAAAGAACCAACGCGGTAAGGGGGAGCATGCATCCAGCCCTACACCTTGCTCCTGCCCAGTGGGATCAAGAGGAGCTGTTTTTCAGGTTTTCAGTAGTTCCTGCTTTTGAGGGACTAGGTCAACAGGAGTATGTGCCCATTTGAACCCAAGACAATATAGCCCGGGGGTGGGGAGGGGGGCGGGCGGAGGGGGGAGATGTGATGAGTGAGGAGTCAGCCAACACGGTGCCGGGGACGGGCGCGCTCCGCACACACCATGCTGGAGAGTGCGCGCTCATTGCTCTGCTCAGCGGAGCATCTGGTAGTTGCCCGCGAGGTCTCAGCAGCTGTAGATGCAGCAGGGAGCTAAACTCACCAAATCTCTGTTGGGAGCCTCTCCTCTGGTAAGCAGACAGAAAAGAAAGGGAAACGAATGGTATGACATGGGGAACTAAATGAGGGAGAAAAAACACAAAGTAAGGAAGAGGGGTCCAAGGTGTGCGTCCTTCTGAGGGAGGGTATGGCTGCGTGAAGTAGAGTGTTCAGGAAAGGCCTCAGTGATAAGATGGCCTAGAGTTTCTGGATGAAAGACACTCCTGAGGAGGAGAGAGACTGAGGAGAGGAGAGACTCGGTGACTATTCGAGGGGAGGGCTTGGGGGTCACAAGGGAGAGACACTAAACACTTGTTGAACTGCATAGCCCTCCATGGTTGGAGCGCGCGAAGGAGGCCGGAGCAGGAATAGATGAGGGTGTGTGTGTGTGTGTAATGGGCAGGTCGGGTCTTGTGCATGATTTTAAGGAATTCATGTTTATCTGTACCTAGTTACACACTATCTCTTTGCCTCCCTGCCCCCAATCTAAGCTGAGCCCCTAAGCAGGAGCTAAAGGGGAGGCCCTGGTTCCTGGAGAGGGTAGGGGTGGGGATGGATGAATGAGCAGTGGGGTCCTTAAGAAAGACCATACTCGGTTGGTTGAGGGACTGCCTTCAGCTGCGGGTCATGGTCCCGGAGCAGTGGTGAGATTTTAAAGGTGTGTTTAGCTTCTGAGTTTGGCCCTTAACTTTGTCCTCACAATTGGCAGACGTCCCTGAAAAAGAAAGAGACTGTAGGAAAGTCTGCTGCAAAGGGAAATGTCGGCAGGCCCTTCTGTGTCATCTGATTCTAGTCCAATGGGGGCTATTTTGCAGCTCTGTGAACTGTAGGTAACTGATAGCAATGGAAAATAATTCGTGTCTGTAGACACGCAAATTAGTTGTGTCTCCTGATGGGACATTTTCCTCCTCCTCGGCCCACTCCCCCCTACCCACGCCCACCGCGGAAAAGCCAGTTGCGCCCCTATTTACACATGCACATCAAATTCCCTGGTCTATACGTGGCATCCCTTTGAATTCTCCTCTGACCTGGTAGTAACACCTCATCGGTTATTTCATTAAGGGGCTAAAAAAGGAGTTCATTTTTATATTCATAGGACCGTTATGATTGTCCCTGTTCTGTTTCTTGTTTTGGAAATTACCCTTCCTTGAGACCTCTTCGGTGCCACCTCCGTAAGCACGGCAACCGCAGCCTGCGTCTCCCCCTGCCTCGCTTTTCTCCCCAGCGGCCCGCAGAGAGCGGTGTTGGGCCCCTCCCTGCGCCGCCCCGGGGGTCCCACCCCGCTGTGCCCGCCGCGTGCCCGGGGGTCCCACTGCGTCGCCCCCAGCCGTCCGGGCTCCGGGTCGCGGGATTGCCACGAAAGTGAGGTTTTCCTGGAAAATGGGGAAGAAGGATTATTACAAGGTTCTAGTCCATAAGAGCAGAAAACGAGCTAAAAAAAAAAAAAGAAATGCGCGTGTATTGGTATTAGCGAGAAAAACAGCAGGCTAACCCTTTTCTACTCCCGGCGTTGCCCGCTTTCCACGCCAGGCATTGGTGGTTCAGTGGTAGAATTCTCGCCTGCCACGCGGGAGGCCCGGGTTCGATTCCCGGCCAATGCAACGGTCCGTCTGCTTTTTTTTTTTTTTTTTTTTTTTTCCTCCTCCCCCCCTTTTGAATCCTTTCAGATCGTTTTGAAATTGCCCCCGTGTAGTAGTAGGATCCCTTCCTCGTGCGGCTTCTGAGGCTGCTCACCCCCCTGGGACTCAGGCGGGACGCAGAGCCGCTTCCGCGGAGGTCAGTGGCGCAGGCTGGCGGCCGCTCTTTCCCCGACAGGGGCATCGGTTTCCTGCTTTCAGAGTGTGTGGAGTCGGTGTGCTCTGGACTCATTCTGTTGTTGGAAGCGTGGATAAAACGGATGTGCAGGCTTTGCGGAGGAAGAAAGACTAGGACAAAGGCCGCAGCCTTTAGCGGAAGATGTGATAAAGGGATTACTTAGAGCCCGGCTGCCGCGGCGAGCAGAGTGGCGCAGCGGAAGCGTGCTGGGCCCATAACCCAGAGGTCGATGGATCGAAACCATCCTCTGCTAAGCGGCGTCTCGTTTTTGCTTTGTTTTTCAACCTTCCCGCCCCCCAGATTGGATGAGTTTAGAACACGGGCCTAGAATCCTCTTTCCCCTGCGTGTCTAAGGAAAGCTTTAGTAACTTTTGGACGAAAATAATCCACCAATCAGAGACCTCAAACTAACCACGGTCAGGTGACCCCTGTCGGCGAGCAGAGAATTGATTTGAACCCATCACTAGGGGAAAAAAAAAAAAAAAGCACACAGCACACAGCAACTGAAGCCCTCTTTTAAACGGCAGCCCCAATCCTAGTATCTTTTTCAGGGCAACTCTACCTGAATTTGATGGGCATCTCTCCCCTTCTTGTCGGGGCCGTTGGGTGAATAATTCCTATTTGCAAGGAGCAGCTGCAGCTGGGATGAGTGGTGGATAGAGCTCGAGCCTTCTGACTCCTCGAAGTCTTCGCCTTCACTTGTAGTCCTCACTTGGAGGCTCTGGATCCAAGTCCTACATGGATGCTGACTGTTGAGATTTCCAAACCGCAGAATTTCAGAGGCCTAGTCGCTCCTTGCGTGGAGCCGTATTCCTCTTGCAGAGCTGAGTGTCCATTTGATGAGCTTTGGAGGAGGACAACGAGACTGAGACCAGCTCAGTCTTCCCCACCTTCCTTCCCGCATTCATCACCTGGAATCATCTGCACTTTATTAATATCTACAACTTACATTCTTTCTCTATCAGGCTGTAAAATAACCTAATGAGTTAAAGGCGACCAAAGACTCGCCCCTCCACAGATCAGGTACCTGGAGGCTGCCTCATGGCACCACAGTGAGTCAGTGAGAGGCCACCCTGGGATCCCCTTCTTCCGCTTCCAAGTAGTTGGTAATCTGTTCTGATAGCTCACATCTCTTTTATTAATAACCCCCTTTTCCCTTTTTATTTCTCCATGTCAACATTTCATTCTCAGGCCTGCTTTTATCGGTAGGTACCGACTGGTGGAATGCCAGCACTTAACCTTGAAAACACAGACCTCTTCTAGTGCAGGACAGAGAAAGCCCCTTCTCTGCAGCTGCTGAGGAAGAGATCCTGGAGGGCTTCATAAAATGGACCTGGCCACTGATACTTCCGATGAAGGATTTTCAAAGACGGCGACTGACTTCAGATTGTATGACCTCTGAAAGTCACGTTTAAATTCTAAGTCTGCAAATGATTGTCTTTCTCTTTATTTTTTAATTTTAAATTTTTTTAATTTAAATTTTACTTAGTTAACATACAGTGCAATATTGGTTTCTGATGTCTTTCTCTTTAAAAATGTGTTGCCCTCGTCATAAGATGCTAACTGGAACTGCCTTTTCGCCTTCAAGACCTTTACCTTTGTGATATTTCTTTGTTCAGTCAGAAGACAATTTGGTTCTTATTTCTTTCATATGCATGAAGGTAAAGTAAAAAATAAAATAAAATCAGTGATTCACTAGACAGTTGATTTAAACAGAATGTGAGAGTCTGTGTCTCATTTAAATAGACAGTAGAAAATGGGCTAAAAGAGAGAAAGAAAGAGCCTGGGTTCAGGGAGCAAGGGTGGGCCGTTTGCAGAAGGGAGTCACAGTAAGAAGGGACGGAGTGGAACTTACTTTAAGATTCTTGTGGCCTCTACAGTTTCTTTCCTTTCCTTTGTGATGAGACAGGAGAGATGGGGACAATCAGCAAAAGAAAACGGAGAAAATGTTGAGACTAGACCAAAGAAAAGTAGGTAGAGAATATATCACAATAAGACAAAGGTCACATAATTAGAGAGAAAAGGGTTTATTTATCCAGGTAACTATTAAATCCATAATAAATAACTCCAAATACCTTTCACCACTTCTATTTCATTGCTGGTAGTGGCTTAAAGAATTTTAAAGTTTTCTTTTAGCTCACTTATTTATCCATTTACTTAAATGGCACGAAATAGCTGGTGGATGCCTGGTCTCTGCCCAGAGCTGCCAAGCAAACATTCTTTTCAGGGGAGGGTTTAGGAAGCTGGAGAGACCTGGGCATGGGATCTGGGCTTTGGTGGCAGGGGAAGGACATAGGACAGCTTGTCATGGGCACAAAAATCTCTGTTAATGCCCAGAGATCTCCACCTGTGAGCTTAAGGGTTTGATGAAGCATGCAGACATGTTTTGTTTAATCTGCACTACGTTATACATTTTTTACTAGCTGCCTATACTGAAAATTTAGAATATCCCATATTAAAATGCATATCCCCTTGAAAAATGGAAAGTTTCGCTGTCCAGGGATTGCAGCTCCGCAGGGCAACGGTCAGGTGAAACCCATTGCATAGGCCTTGTGTTCTTCGGGTCTCTGACGTTCCAACTGGTCCCCTTCACGGGCAGATGCTAGCTGGCATTTTTCAATGTACAGTTGTTCTTATAGCGGCAGTAAGAGAACAGTGAAATACGCTATTAAAACCGGGAAAACAAAATTTGGTGTCAGGAGTCCGTGCACTTCAATCAAACTAGCAAAGAGCACCTTTCTTTGTGGAGCTGAGGCCTGATTTCTAGTATCCAGCCAGTTTCGCTCTTATGGGCTGGGCCTTTGTGAGCATTTGACTTTAAACCTCTGGTTTGGGGGACAGCACAGCTGTCTCTAGTGGCAGCTTAAGCTAGATGTAGGTATTTTATGAAAGACAATCTGGAATAGAAGGTTGAGAGCAAAGCATGGAAAATGGCCTTATGTGCTGTTATGGACTGAAGCATGTTCTCTCAAAATTCACATATTTGAGTTCTAACCCCAGTGCGACTGTATTTGGACACATGGTCTTTAAGAGGTAATGAAAGTTAGATGAAGTCATAAGGAAGGTCCTAATCCTATAGGACTGATGTTCTTAGAAGAAAGGGAGAGACTCCAGAGGTGTGCAAACAGAGAAAAAGGCCACATGAGTTCTCAGGTGCAAGCCCAGGAGGGAAGCCAAGCCTGCTCACACCTTGATCTTGGACTTGAGGCCCACAGAACCCTGAGAAAATAAATATATGTTTTTTTTAAACCACCCAAATAAATGGTATTTTGTTGTGGCAACACCAGAAAACGAATGCAAGCATTTTAATAGGATGTTTGAACTTGGTTAGGCAGGGAAGTGTCAAAGAAGGACTAAGAGAAACATTTGGAAAGAAACTCTACGAGCAAAGAGCAAGAGTCAGACTTAGGGGGAAACACACATATTTAAAAGGGCAGAGGGACCTGCAAAATGACCAAGGTTACCAAGTGTATACTGACTTGTTTGGTAAAGAAAGTGCAACTTAGTTATATGTAATCATATTCCTAAATCCTGATGTGTCTTCAAAGAGCTGCCCAGCAAAATCAAGGGTATGAGTGTTCTGTCAGATGTTTAGGTTTACAGGAAACATTAAAGTATTTATACTTTGAGAACCAGAAATACAGAACAGGGTTTTTTTGTTTGTTTTAGGTTGCTGAGTATTTTGATATTTTATTTACTTATTGACATCTTTGACTCCGCTTCTTTCATGCGCACGACCGACTGTTGGAGAGACTTAAATCCAGTGGCTGAAGGGAGATAGAAATAGTGACTCTATGTACCCCAGCTCACGGTCGTCTTTGGGAAGTTGAACTTCGAAGAAAACATCTCAATTCGATCTGGAAAAAGCAACGCCTTGGACCTCTGCCTCCGCTTTCTGCCACAGGATGGCAGTAGAGGGCAGTGCGCCCTAACCCGCCGCTCCGAGGGCCTCCCAAGGAAAAACATCAACGCCAGGAAGAGCGAAGAAAGAGGGAAGGAATAGGATGCAGAGTTCAAGAACACGATGAAATTAGGGAACTGCTCTCCACCAAGTAGGGTTGTTTATCGGCGAGATCTGCCGCAATCCCCAAGGCTTAACGACAGGGGCCATTGATAAAGTGTAACCAAAGGCGAAATTTCGGCTATTGACTGCGGCAGCGCAAAACTGGATGCCTCGTTCCAGAGGGCGTCTAAGAACCCACACTAAATCGGCATGGTAGTGAGCCTAAATGTTTATCCAGCGTTTTACCCTTCTTCCCAGCTACCTCCCTTCTCCCAGCGTAGCACCCCCAACACTACCAAAGGCAACCCACTACAGCCAAAATGCATCAGCTCTTCTCTGAAAGTGTAGGTGGCTCTGAAAAGAGCCTTTGGGTTGCGGTCGGCTGCAGGCGGGCTCACTTGGCGCTGGTGTACTTGGTGACGGCCTTGGTGCCCTCGGACACGGCGTGCTTGGCCAGCTCCCCGGGCAGCAGCAGGCGCACGGCCGTCTGGATCTCCCGCGACGTGATGGTCGAGCGCTTGTTGTAATGCGCCAGGCGGGACGCCTCGCCCGCGATGCGCTCGAAGATGTCGTTGACGAACGAGTTCATGATGCCCATGGCCTTGGACGAGATGCCCGTGTCGGGGTGCACCTGCTTCAGCACCTTGTACACGTACACCGAGTAGCTCTCCTTGCGGCTGCGCTTGCGCTTCTTGCCGTCCTTCTTCTGCGCCTTGGTCACCGCCTTCTTGGACCCCTTCTTCGGCGCCGGGGCCGACTTGGCGGGCTCGGGCATGGCGGGGACGACGGCGAAGGTGCTCGCGAGAGACGGGACGAAGGCACAGCGCGAGCAGAGCGCCACTTGTCCGTTTTATAGAGAAGCCCTTATGCAAATAAGGTGTAAATTACACTATCCTCTGATTGGTGGCTGTTCAGGGTAACGTCAGAATTAGTTCTTCCCAATCAGAACGCAAGGATTCCAAAGCTGCCTCTCCATTGGGCGACACAAAGCCACAGCCTTAGCCAATGCGCGACCTTCCTTTTGGCGCTCGACAGGGTTATAAAAAGTGCTGGGCCGGGGCCTTGGGTTCGGCGGCTGCTCGCGGTGCGTCTGGGGCCGCGATGTCCGGACGCGGCAAGCAAGGCGGCAAGGCGCGCGCCAAGGCCAAGACGCGCTCGTCGCGGGCCGGCCTGCAGTTCCCGGTGGGCCGCGTGCACCGCCTGCTCCGCAAGGGCAACTACGCCGAGCGGGTGGGCGCCGGCGCGCCCGTCTACCTGGCGGCCGTGCTCGAGTACCTGACGGCCGAGATCCTGGAGCTGGCGGGCAACGCGGCGCGCGACAACAAGAAGACGCGCATCATCCCGCGCCACCTGCAGCTGGCCATCCGCAACGACGAGGAGCTCAACAAGCTGCTGGGCCGCGTCACCATCGCGCAGGGCGGCGTCCTGCCCAACATCCAGGCCGTGCTGCTGCCCAAGAAGACCGAGAGCCACCACAAGGCCAAGGGCAAGTAGCACTCTAGCAGAGTGTGCGCCTCCAACCCCCCGTCCAAACCAAAAGGCTCTTTTCAGAGCCACCCACCACTTCTGAGAAAGAACTTAACACTCTTCCTGAAATCTAGCTACAAATGACCTAAATGTAAGGAACACGAAATAACTAGCATCCTTTTTGATATGGCCAATTCTGGTAAAGGCCATACAATGCATATTTTGGTCAACTATAAAACCACTAAACCACCTTTATTGTCCCCTCCCCACGAGCACACTACTCTTGTTAATTAAGTTTCTGTTCCAGCTAATGCACTAATTAAACCTGTTTTGTGTTGTTTCTGGGTCTTTATCACCAGCAGAACCTGATGGTTCATTGGTAACGAAAAGCTTCCTAACACTTCAGAGCTACTCCTAGAGAAAAGCTCTTAATTACCGGTCACTAGATCTCGGCACTCCACACCTGCTGATTAAATTTAGCACAGTTTACATATTAAGTAGCCCAATCAGCCACTTGATTGCATCAGAGTAAGTTATTGATGTCATAACCGCTCGCTGGTACTGAGGAGTCAACACTTAAGCTCCCCTCCCCGCACCACGCGGGGCAAAGTCAAGTTTTGGTGTTCCGGGCGGCCGCTGTGCCCGTCTTATTTGAAAACTGAGTTTGTTCTGGGTCTCGGCACAGTCAGCAGAAGCAGATCTTGATGCAGTTACGAAACGCAACTTTTCTTAGACTAACCAACACATTATTCTGATATGATTTTTTCCCCATGTTATATGAAAAAGGGGAAAGGACTGAAATTTAAGGACACTTTAGGCTCTGAGTTCACAGATTCTAGGTCCGATTCCTTTTCACTGGTGGAATCTTAACGTTTTGGTTGAAAACAGTAAACTTAGGGTGGAGTATAGCCATAATTTTTTCCTATGAAAATAGGAAACAAAAATAAAACCAAGCCTGGAAAACAAAACCGACTCAAATGAGGATTGGATTGGGAACCAATCAGGTTACTCCTGCGACAGCTCTGACCAATCAGGATGGGCTCATGAGTATAAAGTCTGGTCCCCACACCAACTCGGCAGTTGCTGGTTTTCGCAGCACGAGTGTCTGGCCATGGCCCGCACGAAGCAGACGGCGCGCAAGTCGACGGGCGGCAAGGCCCCGCGCAAGCAGCTGGCCACCAAGGCGGCCCGCAAGAGCGCGCCGGCCACCGGCGGCGTCAAGAAGCCGCACCGCTACCGGCCCGGCACGGTGGCCCTGCGCGAGATCCGGCGCTACCAGAAGTCCACCGAGCTGCTGATCCGCAAGCTGCCGTTCCAGCGGCTGGTGCGCGAGATCGCGCAGGACTTCAAGACCGACCTGCGCTTCCAGAGCTCGGCCGTCATGGCCCTGCAGGAGGCGTGCGAGGCCTACCTGGTGGGGCTCTTCGAGGACACCAACCTGTGCGCCATCCACGCCAAGCGCGTCACCATCATGCCCAAGGACATCCAGCTGGCGCGCCGCATCCGCGGGGAGAGGGCGTAAGCGGCCCTTGCGAAGCTTGCCCGAGCGCGTTTGCTTTCTCCCTTCCAAAGGCTCTTTTCAGAGCCACTTCCGTTTTCACGGAGAGTGGCTGTGTTACTACGGGTTGGGACAGTCCGAGCTTCGTGGGAGGCAAGGACGATGGGGGAAGGGATGCCGTGATCTTTAGCAACTGCAGCATCTCCCTTTTCTGCGAGTTGGTGTAGGTTGGGAAGGCCTCGCCTGTACTCGCTCCTCAAGGAAGCTTTTCCAGAAGGAGCAGCTAATGTTTAAAGGCCGCAGTGTCTACAGAGTCATCCCTTGGTCCCTTGAGTAATCCAGATGTCGAGAAAGCCACCACTCGGAGGGAAGGAACTTGACCACCAAGTAGAGTAAGCTTCAGAGCATAAATAATTGGTACCTCCTGGCCCCACACCTGAGCTGAATCTGGGAGCAGAGTTGTGTAACTGCTCCCCAAGTGCATGGAAGAGCACCTTGCACGTTTTAGCTGTTCGGTAGAGTTGGCTCCTTGGATCTGTCCCAGTTCTCAGGAGGTGGTGAGTGCAGTGCGTCCAGGTTAAAGTCCGGCAGTGCTGGGGTTTTGCCTAGGATCTAGCAGGATTTTCTTACACTCAGTGTGTCCTCCACAACTCCAAGAAGGAACAAAATGCTGGGATTTGGCTGCAGCCGTAGCTCTGTTTACCAAGAAAATGAGCTAGTATTCAAACTATTTTTCTCTTGAGAATTGAATTTCTCCATGTTTAGCACTAACATCTGGTAACTACGGGATACAGCTCTGAAATGTTTATTCTCTTTCACACCCATTCTAAGATACTGTAACATCAGCAAAGTGGCCCCCCGGTTCTTTGCCAGCTTCCAGGAGCATGGTAATGGAGAATGTGCATGCGGAGCCAAGTACAGGCAGCCTGACCTCAGTATCTGGTTGCTGAGGCCTGGACACCCATCACCTGACATAATGGTGACTTCCCTGGGGGACAAGCTCCAGTGAGACCATTTGGGGTAATGCCCCTACTGCACTTGACCATTATCCCTTACAGGACACTTCAGACATGTTCCCCAAAATTTCATGTGAATCTAAGTTCTAAAAGTCGAGTTTTGCCCCATTTTCTCTCCCCATAGAACATGCATGTCCTAAGGTCAAGATTTTTCTCATTCTGTTTACTGTCCTATCCCTAGAACAGTAAAAGCCTGATACACAGCAGGTGCTCATTAAATTCTAGTTGAATGAATGTATGGTTAATTTGCTGTCTTTTCGACACAAGATAGCTCCCACTCGGCCATAGGTAGTCCCTGAGTGCTTTACACCTTCCATCCTAGATGCTTTTTGTCACCACTGTTTCGATTCCCATGGTGAGCAGATAAAACACTGACAACAACAATTATATAAAGCTTTACAGTTTCCGAAGTATATTTACATATCTCTTTGTATATGGAATTGACAACAGCTGGGGTTTAGACAGGGCCTATCCATACACTCTCACTAGCTCTAGAAGAGTTTATCTTTTCCAAAAGTACCCAAGAATTAGGGGATAAAGCTGGTTGATCTGTTTAGAATTCTTTCTTTAAGCCCTAGGATGGAAGAAGATCTGATGAACCTCCAATGGCTGTAGGAAAATAAAGGAGAATTAGTTTAAAACAAAACAAAACAAAACACTAGGGGCAGGAAAGCCTATTTTCCTTGAAGTGAAGAGGCCAGGGCAGAAGCTAGGTTCTTATGTTTTCTAGCTCCTCAGAAAGGACATCTGCTGGGATTGGGGAGTCTATGGATCAGTAATGATATATTCTATTTGAAGGTAAAGTTTGGACATAGAAAAGGTGGTTTTAGGACATGTTCAAAAATTCTTTGATACGCTGACCTTCAAAAAAATGGAGCCTAATTCCTTTCCCCTCGACTTAGGGCTGGATTTAGGTACTGGCTTCTAGTGAATCGGACAAAGCCAGTGGCCTGAAGTCAAAGTGACAGAGACCTACTTTGGAGGTTAGCTCACAGGAGATAGTATTTCCTGCTTGTTCTCTCTCTCAGGCCACTTGGTCTGGGGGACCCTGGCTGCCATGTTGTGCGGACACTCAGGCAGCCCTGTGGAGAGGCACACTCGATACTAAACCGATGCCTTCTCCAACAGTCCATGAAGAACTACCAGTAGCCATGGGAGTGAACCATCTCCAGCCCCAGTCAAGCCTCAGGTGACCAGAGCCCCTGTGGACAGCTTGACTCTTCCTGAGAGACCCTGAACCAGACCACCCAGCTAAACCACTGTCTGTTTCCTGACCTTCTGAAGCTGTGGGAAATAATAAATTTGTTGTTTTAAGCTGCCAAGTTTTTTGGGGGGGCGGGGGGTTAATTCATTATATAACAATAAATAACTGAGCAAAAAAAAAAAAGAGGAATAGTTAAGAGTCACCCGATGGACTCCACTAGTCTCGATGAGATGACCACATCCCACAGCTCTGCCCTTCACCATCGGGACAGCTGGACTCACAGGAACTTGCCTTAGTTCCTGTGGAGTTAGCGGCAGGGTTTTCTCGTGCCCCTGTCCAGAGAGGCCGGAGACCAGCTTTGTGCTGCTGGCTTAGAGAGGACGATGCCTTTGGTTGCGCATAAGGCTGCTTTGAAGGTGTGCAACGGGTGGGTCACCTCTAGCTACAGACTTTGAAGGCCTGGGGTGTAGTGTTGGTGCAGGCGGGGCTAGACAACAGCCAAATCCTCTCTCTCTCACTAGTGATCTCTCTTTCCCTCTTTTTTGGAAAACTACCTGTCTGAGGTACCATTTCTAATGGTCAGACATACTAGTTAAGGAAACCATTATAAGTTTTTGTTCTGTGACTCTCCTTTTTCCAGATCCCGCACCAGTATAGACTAGCAGTCACGTAGATTATAAGTTATTTTAGATGCCATTTTCCTTAATAATGAAATGGATACTTTATTTCCTCAAAAGATTGCATTAAAGATTAAATGTGGCAATATATGAAACTGTAGGAGAATACCCCAGAGAATGTATTAAGTGCACAATAAATACTCAGTAAACCTAATTTCATCTCAGAGTCCTAGTTTGGTATGTCTCTTGTAACATTGAGGAAATACGCCCCAAATCCTCTGATAAGATTAGACTGAGGAGTCAGTCATTCTTGTCATTGGTTGAGATTTGGGAAACGATCCAATTTGATCAGTCACACATTAGCAAGTCATGTCATTTCTGCTAGTGGCCAGTCTTATTTCTTGGAAGATTTCTCTTAGTTTCTGTCTCACAAGGTGAAGTTTTCAAAACGTGTCTTCCAGTTCTGGAAAGTACTTGGAACACAAGAACTATTTCTGTTTAGGGGCAGGGAAGAAGTTGAAAAATTAGATGAGAACAAATGTTTCTAGAATGGCCCACCCCCAAGTCCCTCCAAAGGGTAGAGGCCCTGAGAGGATATCAAGCAGGAGAGCAAGAAAAGTCACCAAGAATTCATTAGGAATGAAGTTTAGGGGCCACCTGAATGGCTCAGTTGGTTAAGTGTCTGCCTTCAGCTCAGGTCATGATCCCAGGGTCCTGGGATCGAGCCCCGCATTGGGTTCCCTGCTCAGTGGGGAGTCTGCTTCTCCCTCTGCCTCTCCCTCTCCCCCTGCTTGTGCTTGCTCTCTTTCTCTCTGACAAATATATAAATATAAATAAATAAAATCTTTTTTAAAAAATGAAGCTTAGAGTGTGCTCACTCTGCAGTGGGATAGGCTGCCAAAAGTCTCTCCCACCAATGTGGTGGTTCTCGTTATGAAAGAGGTTCTTAAATGTAAAAAAAAATGAATTTTTTAATATCCCTCTGCCAATGATAAGGTATCTGATCTGGACAAGATTAGAAATAGTGTACTTCCTTAGATGGAAACTGGTAGAAAGTACATGTAAAATTTTTCACCTGAGAAGAGGGTTTATGGAATGATAGTTCTGTGTAAGAAAATATGCCTTTAGTGTATTAGTTTATTGCCTATCTTGAAGGAAAAAAAGTCTGGTTTTAAATGGAGACACTTTAGGAGCACCTGGGTGGCTCAGTCGTTAAGCATCTGCCTTCAGCTCAGGTCATGATCCCAGGGTCCTGGGATCCAGCCCCACATCAGGCTCCCAGCTCAGTGGGGAGTGTCCTTTTCCCTCTCCCTCTGCCCCTCCCCCTGCTTGTGCTCTTTCTCTCTCTGTCAAATGAATAAATAGAATCTTTAAATAAATAAATAAGTAAATAAATAAATGGAGACAGTCGAATGGCTGGCAATTATATGAAGAATTTTTAATCTTCACTTGGTAATCAGATAAATGCAAATTAAAATAATGAAATACTGGGCAACACCCATCAAATTGGTAAAATCAGAAAGCTGGATGTAATCATGTGTTGCACGGGAGGTGGAGAAACTTATTTTCATGTGGTGGTTTGTTTACTGATGGTGGTTTTACACAAGACATTTTGAAGAACTGTCTAATTTACTTAGTAAAATTGGGTGTGCCCAGGTCTATGCCCCAAGGAAATTCTCCTACAGACCTATAAGAGGACATATTGAGAATATTCATCAAAATGCTATTTGTGAAAGCAAAAAGGTAGAGAAAAATTAAGGGCCTGAGTAAGTAAAATATAGTGGATGCATTCTAAGGAATGCTCTTTCTTCTAGGATCAAGGAACAAGTAAATGGCAAAAACAAGATCTGAACCAAAGGCTCAACCTAGCTGCTATCATTCAGTTCATACTTGGACACTTGTGTGCCAGGATCTCCAACAGAATTTTCTAGCTTTACTTACAACTAACCCAGAATAACCACCAAAACCAAAGGCACCAAATCTGAGTACTTTATAAACATGATTTACAGAACACCAGTGTTGTCTCTGTGTGGGCTGCTAGAACAAAATACCACAGACGGGGTGGCTTATAAACAACAGAAATTTATTTCTCATAGTTGTGGAGGCTGGAAGCCAAGGATCAAGGCTTTGTCAAATTCAGTGTCTAGTGAGAACTCAGGTCCTGGTTCACAGATGGTCATCTTACTGTGTCCTCACATGATGGATCACTGGGGTCTCTTACAGAGGCACTCACACCATTCAGGAGGGCTCCACACTTACGACCTCAGCACCTCTCAATATTCCCACCTCCAATTACCATCACATTAGGGGTTAGGTTTAAACATACAAGTTTTGAATGGACACAAACATTCAGTCTATAGAGACCTGTTCACTGTCAAAGAGTAGAAGCTTAGGAACTGTGTTCGTAGCCTCTACCCCTTGTTTTGAAGCCAGGAGGGCTCGGGGACCCCTACACAAGGGGCCCTCACCTTCACCTTGATTCTTGTGTTCTCAGTAACCAACGCTGGAGATATTATTAAGGTGAGATGAATGGAAGTTTCTGGCAACATTGTTTAATACATTAACAGGCATGGAAACTAGCTAAATTAAGGCAAGTTTTGAAAATAAAATAAAGATCATCACTGATTACACGAGAGTAAGAAATTGCAGAAACGAGGTAGAGTATTAGATAAAACAAGGAATGACTGCCAGGCATGAAATGCCTCGTATACTGGAGAGTACATCTGAGTTGAGAGTTTCAGAAGGAAGCAAGGGTTTCCTCTGATAAAAGAGCTTTGCACTTTTGAAGCCATGAGCAGACAAGACTATGGCTTAGTGACCCTAGGAAAGAGGTTGGGGGAAGACAAAGAGGCCGGGGAGGACAGTGGAGCATCCTCAGACTTCTTCAGTTGGTCTTAATAACACACGGAGGCATGAGAAGCTGAAGGGAGCTTTATGCATGAGAGCAGGGATGATGATTGCTCATAGGCTGGGGCAAGGAGGAAGGGAAACCCCATGCTTCCATGTCTCATATTTAAGATTCTGAGCTGGTAAAAGGCTAAATATACGTGGAAGGGAAGGACACTACAAAATGGAAGAAAAGATTTGAGAGTTTAAGTTCATGGAGTGGGAAAAAACTCCAAAAAGCTAGTGGTGTTTTGGATTAGTGTATAGATGTGCATGCTTATATGTAAATGTGTATGCATTTGGGGGACGGGAGAAATGAGAATCAGGAAAGGGACTAATCACAAGTAGGTAAATTAATTTTGAATGAAGAACAAAAATTAAAAAGTAAAAGATATGTAAACCTACCAGTCAATTCCAAAGCCTTAACCAAAACAAACAAAACAAAATCAAGTGTCAAGGAAATGAATATGTGGCAAATTGAATTGAAAATATAACAATATTGGAAAGAATTGATCCCAACATTTGGAACTAAGAACATTAAAAAATTGTTAACTACATAAGTGTGGATCAGTAAGCAATTTTCAGAACATTGGAAAGGCAAGTACACCTCATTTATTCATATGACTAAGGGGGAAGGGAATTTCACGGAATTTAAAACAGTCAAACATTTTTCTTGGAAAATATCTCTACATAATGTGAGAGGGGGAAAAAAACTCTCTGTATTTATCCCAATTATTCAAGAAATTATTGGACAGTTCATGTCAATCAGCATTATCATATGCTGAGAAAGACCAAAAAAAAATTTTTTTTTAAGATTTTATTTATTTATTTGAGACAGAGAGAATGAGAGACAGAGAGCATGAGAAGGGGGAGGGTCAGAGGGAGAAGCAGACTCCCCACCGAGCAGGGAGCCCGATGCGGGACTGGATCCCGGGACTCCAGGATCATGACCTGAGCTGAAGGCAGTCGCTTAACCAACTGAGCCACCCAGGCGCCCCAAGACCAAAAATTTTTAAATAATTTTTTAAATTAATTTAATTTAAATGAAATGAGAAGCCTAAACTCTTTTTAAGCTTAAAAAATCTGCAGGCAGTCTATTCGTTCCCTGCATGAAAGTGGGAGAAGAGACTGAAGAAAGCATCTAATTTTTTTTTTAAGATTTTATTTATTTATTTGATAGAGATAGAGAGAGGGAGAGCACAAGCAGAGGGAGTGGCAGACAGAGGGAGAGGAAGGGGCAGGCTCCCCGCTGAGGAAGGAGCCGGACGTGGGGCTCCATCCCAGGACTCTGGGATCATGACCTGAGCCAAAGGCAGCCGCTTAACTGACTGAGCCACTCAGGCGCCCCAGAAAGCATCTAATTTAACACAGCATTACACCTTTGGGAAACATAGATGTGAGTGTAAATATTTTCAGGGCAGAGCACATGCAAATGAAACGAAATCAAAGTACAGGTCCTCCAGAGTGTTACCTTCAACAGATAAAGGAACATTCATAAATAACTTTTCTCAGTGTTTCAAGACTTGGTCTTGGAAAGGTTGGTCTTAAAATAACACTTTCAAGAACAGCTGCTATATAAGGAAGCAGAACGCTGCCTGGTTTTCTGTACCTGCAAGAGAAAGATTGCAATCATTCCACCAGCAGATACAGGTTGGACATCTTCAAGATTAAGCACTCAGATTCCATTTTTAAACAGGGATAGAAGAGGCGCTAGAAGCTCAGTAAGAAATGGATTAACTCAAAGATCGTGGGCATGTAATGTTTTCAACTTAGAGTAATTACGGAGTCTATAATGCACTTGGTAGCTGATTCCTAGAATAAAATTAGGCATTTGTTCAAGGAGTAAATAATCACACACCTTTGAAATAGAAAGTGTAAACCTAACGGTATCTGGAAAACAAGCCAGGCCAGAGGGAGGTCATTCCAAACAGCCCCAGTCATGGAAACCAACCAAGGAACTCGTCTTTCCAAGTTGTTGCTTTTTCCTGGAATAAAGTCGTTCCTAGTCTCCTCATTCTGCATCTTATTTGTAAATTAAAGGCAGAGGGTTTCTGGGTGCAGTGGATTTCCCAGTTCAACAAAGGATTGCGGGGCGCGCAGAGGAGGGAGCTCTGAAAGGCGTGGTCGCCCGCTCCTCGGCTCTCCAAGGACCTTGCTCCTCAAACAACTTTAGAAACGTAAAGTGTTTCTAACGCAGGTCAAGAGATACGCGGCAGGGATGGAAAAAAGGGAAAGACAGAGCGAGTGAAATGTAAAGGATGGAGAAGCAAACTGAAGACAGGTGAGGTTAACCGCACCTCGACGCCGTGACCCGGCGGCGTTGGCCGCAGCGGTCACCGACCTGACGGAGGTCGCTGCGCGCGAGACGGCTGCACAAGCGCCCCGGGGACTGCGACCCCGGCTCCGGGGAGGGGCCACTCGATGCCGGCAGCTACAAGTCACGACTGCAGCAAAGCTCAGCGACGGAGAGCCCGCAGGCTCGGCCAAGAACCCCCCCCCCCCCGCGGGGGGCAGGCGCCAAGCGCCGCGCGAACTTTCCAGGAGGCGTCCAGTTCAACCGAGTTGGAGCACCGCCCTTCGCATGGCCCCCGAAACGTGGGCCGGGCTCGGGCTCGGGACCTCCCTGAGCGGAAACAGCGGGCCTGCGGTGTTCCCAAACAGGTCCGACAAAGTACTATATAAGTTGCTACCTCGGAGGCCCCGAGTTGTGCTTGTCTTGCAGCCATGTCGGGCCGCGGCAAGGGCGGCAAGGGCCTGGGCAAGGGCGGCGCCAAGCGCCACCGCAAGGTGCTGCGCGACAACATCCAGGGCATCACCAAGCCCGCCATCCGGCGGCTGGCCCGGCGCGGCGGCGTCAAGCGCATCTCCGGCCTCATCTACGAGGAGACCCGCGGGGTGCTCAAGGTGTTCCTGGAGAACGTGATCCGAGACGCCGTCACCTACACGGAGCACGCCAAGCGCAAGACGGTCACGGCCATGGACGTGGTCTACGCGCTCAAGCGCCAGGGCCGCACCCTCTACGGCTTCGGGGGCTGAGCTCTGATTTCGTCACCAGAAAATTGCACTTCATAACCAAAGGCCCTTTTCAGGGCCACCCACGAAGTCTTCTAAAGACCTGTAATCCTCTTCCCAATCCGCTTCCAGAGCACCTGACCATGATCAGGTGAGCTTGGGGTACACGAGAACCCATTTCAGATGGGAAAGTACAACGTGCTTAGGATTGTCCAGAAAGTGCCGAGACCTCCGGTGGCTGGAGTCGGCACCTCGGCCCCACTCCCTGGAGTCTGCACTGTTAGAGACCGTTGTGCTCAAAGCCGACCTCATTTACCATGTGTTCCCTAAGGTAAACCTGGCCAACCCTTGTTATGAAAAGCTGAGTGGTTCTTAAGCTCTTTTGAAAGTCCTTGCAGAGAACATGGCTAGAATTTCAAATAATGCTATTGCCTCCATTTTACTCCGTCCCCTTTAATTTTCAGTAAGCAATATAATCAAGAATCCAGTCATAGCTGGATTTTATTTAAAATAGTGGAAGGAAGGCACTTTCGGATTCTCAAGACAATAGTTTAAAGAATTTTGATGCATCTTAGAGGCTTAAAAAAACCACAAAAGTCAGACATTTTCTTTGTCCTTTATCCGCGAGACCTAAGCGGGAGGCGGGAAAATGCTTCCTGTCCTTAGAGGACTGAAGCGAGAGCCAATCCGTGCGCGGGGTGGGGCGGGAGGCTCCTGTCCAATCCGGACCCCGGGCTCGCTATAAATACCGGGACGCCGCCTCCTACTCTTGCAGCTTCAGGTTGTTACCTCTGCTTGGCGATGGCCCGCACGAAGCAGACGGCGCGCAAGTCGACGGGCGGCAAGGCCCCGCGCAAGCAGCTGGCCACCAAGGCGGCCCGCAAGAGCGCGCCGGCCACCGGCGGCGTCAAGAAGCCGCACCGCTACCGGCCCGGCACGGTGGCCCTGCGCGAGATCCGGCGCTACCAGAAGTCCACCGAGCTGCTGATCCGCAAGCTGCCGTTCCAGCGGCTGGTGCGCGAGATCGCGCAGGACTTCAAGACCGACCTGCGCTTCCAGAGCTCGGCCGTCATGGCCCTGCAGGAGGCGTGCGAGGCCTACCTGGTGGGGCTCTTCGAGGACACCAACCTGTGCGCCATCCACGCCAAGCGCGTCACCATCATGCCCAAGGACATCCAGCTGGCGCGCCGCATCCGCGGGGAGAGGGCGTAGATGGGATTTCCTGGTTCCGTGCCAACTTTAAACCCAAAGGCTCTTTTCAGAGCCCCTCCATTGTCCCCAGGAAGAGCTGTTAACCTTCGAGTATGTGGTAGTCCTACGAGAAAGAACTCGGGGATGTTTCGAGGAAGGTCTTGTGGGCTCAATAGTGAGTAAATTGAGGACTGGAGAGGATGGCTCTGTTCAGTAAAACTTTATTTCCACAGCCAGACCCTGCTGATACTGCGCGCAGGAAGGAGGTGTTCCTGGATAAGCATTTTTAAAATGACCCAACCATTTTAGAAATTAAGCCTTCCAGACTACAGGAAGTGACGGAAGATGGACGCCCAAGTTTTAGGAAAGTTGAGCTCAGGTTCTTATGGATTATTGTGTAAATGGCAAGTACAGTTTACCTTTGCCAAATGATTCCAATGCTTTTGCTTCAGAAACGTGCCTTTTATTTGCTTTCCTGTGACGTGAAGGAACAAAACCGGGATTGCCAACAAGTGGTGTTCTCTTTTCCACTGTTTCAGTGTAATGTTTGAGAAGAGTATGCTCTTGGGCTTTGTGTATGTGATTATGGTGAAAATGGGCCAACAATGACCTAGACACCGACCTGCAGGCTGTATGTACAATGAGCTCCCAGTAGCTCTAAAAATTTGTCCACCTGTTTTAAAAATGTGCTCCTCAGTCTGAAATTGGATTCTCATGATTTTTTTTTTCCAAATAAACCAGAATGGGAATTAAATCATATTTTAAAGCTGTTACAGGTTTCCACACTTAGAATTCTGGGTTTCCTAACCGACCTTGACTGTATATTTTGTCCAGTTATTTTAAGATTTTGAAGTCTCTTCATGCATTTCACGAATGAATATCATTGACCCATTTTGCTTCTTTTGATCAACTCCTCACTCCAGGAGTTAGCAATTTTTCTCTGGAGACTTCAGCCATCTGGACCTTATATTCTTTCCCCTATTTTCGGATATATCCTTTCAGAGAGGTTCATATCCAATCTACTGGCTCCTAAAGCTTTTTGGAATGCCTGGGGATTGAGGGCAAAGAGTTCTGACCCAAGGGGCCAGAAGCTCTTCCTACAGGTTAGTTTAGAGATCCTTAGTGGCTCTTTGTAGGGACTACTTGATGATGCCTCTTATAAGCTTCAAAGATTGTTTTCTCCCCACGCCTTGAATGATTTCCCCATCATAACAGAGCTGAGGCCAGGTGGTCTAGGTTCAAACCTCAGAGCTGCCAATTACTAGCCATATAACCGTTTGCCAAGCTACTCATCCTTTCTCTGGGTCTCAGCCTGTATAGCTGTAAAATGTGGCACATGAATTAAAATTTTAGAGCATTCTTAGTTCTTGGCACTTAGCGAACGCTCAATGAATGTTAGTCTTTGATTACACCTCTCTCCTGCCCCTTAAGCATGGCGATCCCCTCCGCCCTGATCTTCTGAAAGTTTTGTGGTTGAAATAGTGGGAAATGCTTGGTTAAAATATTTTTCTTGCTAAGATATTTTCTTGATTTGCATTGTTCTGAAAGAGGCAGGCTTTTAGCAATACACCATATTCTATGTGGAGGAGTCCAAAGCATAGCAAAATGGCCAAATAGCAAATATTTGAGGCTTTGCAGGCCAAATATGGTCTCTTTTATTTTTTATAGCACAAGTAATAAAATATAAAAACCACTCTTAGCTTGAGAGCCATACAAAATAGGACACTGTCCAGATTTGGCCTTAGATGGCTACAGTTTAAACTTCAGGAGCTCTTTGGAGAGAAATACGTTGGCGACTTTAAACTTCCCTACCGTTTTTCACAGGGAATAACATAGTGAGTGTTGACTGCAGTAGAGATTCTAATCATTAGACCTCCCTTATCATCCAGGCCAGTCACAGAATCCCATCCATTCCCCACTCCACCCTCCCCCCAAATAAATAGCAAACTTAACCACCCTCATGATTATTGCCTCAGTTCTCTTGGATGCTAATATATTTCTGAATTCTTCTGACCCTCTATAACGTGCAGTCCCTGAATCCCCAATCTACTTTTCTCATGAGTCAGTAGCCAACTATTTCTCTGAAGTACAGGTCTCTCCTCCCTCAAACACACAATAATGCCCACATTACAGAAGATAGTGTTTCTGACAGTGTGCTTTATTAAATGTTGGTGGAGATAAGGAGTTTGAATTGGGGAGCATTGGGAAGAGCACCTTGAAACCTGACAAAGTCCCATGTTATCTAAACAGTGTGTGTTTTCGAGGACTACTGGAAACCCTTGAATACTTTCAGCAGGTTTGAGTTTTTCTTAGAGCACACTAAGCATCTTTCCGATTTATTATAATGGATTTGCCTAATACTAAAGGGAGATGGCATCTCAATCAAAAACATATCAAATTTAAGTTTGAATTTGAATCCAGGTCACTGGATCCTCAAGCCAAAGCTATTCCTCTTCCTCCTGCTGCAGGTAGACGTCACTCTGGCTACTGAACTTTTCCAAGCTGAAAAGACACTCACTAAAGACATTGGCACGTGCAAACTCCTAGGAGGCAGAACTGGTTTTTAAAGTACGATCTATGTGGTTAATTTGGGGCACTAGGCAATCTATTGCCCTGCCTCTGTGTTACTTGCTACAGTTAGAAACAACGTTTATGCCCAAACCCAGGAAACCGTGTCTTTCCTCTTGCAAAAATCAAAGGCAGAACCTAGGGACAAAGCATGTTTAAAAATGTCCACTTGATACTTAGTAGAAAGTTACTGCAAATTTCAACTAACTAGCAGGATGCCCTAAACCCAGTGGATTCTTGGGACAAGCTGAAAAGATTTTTAAAAGTATCTTTCAGCTGTTGCGCACGATTCATGAAAACACAAACCCGTGTGTGAACGTGGAGCTTGCCGTCTGCCTTGAGAACTTCAAAGCGTCAAATTCTGTACAATTATTTTCAGCATTTAATCAGGTTTTGGGAGCTAACAAACACAATTTGGGAGTCCAACCGGGAAGGGCGGCTGCCTGAGGGCAGTGGATTGGACGCTCCACCAATCACAGAGCAGCACCGGCTTATATAAGCCCCTGGCCGGAGTCAGGCTGCATTGCAAGACTTGCGCTTTAGATTTGCAACCTCTCTTCTCGTAGCAGTTTCTGCTCTTGGCCATGTCGGAAACCGCTCCCGCTGACACGGCTGCCCCGGCGCCGGTGGAGAAGTCGCCTGCCAAAAAGAAGGCAACCAAGAAGGCGGCGGGCGGTGGCGCTGCGAAGCGCAAGGCGTCCGGGCCCCCGGTGTCCGAGCTCATCACCAAGGCCGTCGCCGCCTCCAAGGAGCGCAGCGGCGTGTCCCTGGCCGCGCTCAAGAAGGCGCTCGCGGCCGCCGGCTACGACGTGGAGAAGAACAACAGCCGCATCAAGCTGGGCCTCAAGAGCCTGGTGAGCAAGGGCACCCTGGTGCAGACCAAGGGCACCGGCGCCTCGGGCTCCTTCAAGCTCAACAAGAAGGCGGCCTCCGGGGAGGCCAAGCCCAAAGCCAAGAAGGCGGGCGCGGCAAAAGCCAAGAAGCCCTCCGGGGCCACCCCCAAGAAGCCCAAGAAGGCCGCGGGGGCGAAGAAGGCGGTGAAGAAGACGCCCAAAAAGGCCAAGAAGCCTGCCGCCGCCGGCGTCAGAAAGGTGGCCAAGAGCCCCAAGAAAGCCAAAGCCGCTGCCAAGCCCAAGAAGGCGGCCAAGAGCCCCGCCAAGCCCAAGGCCGTGAAGCCGAAGGCGGCCAAGCCCAAAGCCGCGAAACCCAAGGCAGCGAAGCCCAAGGCTGCCAAGGCGAAGAAAGCGGCTCCGAAAAAGAAGTAGGAAGTTGGCCTTAAAAAGGCAACAACACCCCAAAGGCTCTTTTCAGAGCCACCCAAATTTTTCTGGAAACAGCTGTACACAATTGTTGCCAATTTTCCCGGCCATCCGCAAAAACCTAAGAAGGTAAACTTTAAGCATATATACATACTCTATGCCCTTGTTCTAAGTTAAATTGCAGGCCTGTTTTTCGCGGTTGATGTTTATTTCTGTACACAAGTCAGTACTTCGAAAAAGCCCGCGCTACACTCCCATTGGTCCCGGTTTGCATAGTACTTGGTGCCCAACCCCTGATTCTCTGAGCACCAGCTACAAGCTAGTTACTGAACGGAGTTGAACGGGGAAGCTCGCTAACGAGTAATATAAATAGGTGGTCACCTATTAGGTCCAGGTAGAGAGACTGGGAGAGCTAGCTAGTCTAAAAGTGGTGTAAAATATGAAGCTTTAACCTCTTAGCGTCGAAATTGAGAAAACTGCGGGCCCAGCTCTTCTCAAGAAATAGTGGGTGGCTCTGAAAAGAGCCTTTGGTTTGGACAGGGGGTTGGAGGCGCACACTCTGCTAGAGTGCTACTTGCCCTTGGCCTTGTGGTGGCTCTCGGTCTTCTTGGGCAGCAGCACGGCCTGGATGTTGGGCAGGACGCCGCCCTGCGCGATGGTGACGCGGCCCAGCAGCTTGTTGAGCTCCTCGTCGTTGCGGATGGCCAGCTGCAGGTGGCGCGGGATGATGCGCGTCTTCTTGTTGTCGCGCGCCGCGTTGCCCGCCAGCTCCAGGATCTCGGCCGTCAGGTACTCGAGCACGGCCGCCAGGTAGACGGGCGCGCCGGCGCCCACCCGCTCGGCGTAGTTGCCCTTGCGGAGCAGGCGGTGCACGCGGCCCACCGGGAACTGCAGGCCGGCCCGCGACGAGCGCGTCTTGGCCTTGGCGCGCGCCTTGCCGCCTTGCTTGCCGCGTCCGGACATGCTGATCAGCCACCAGTGTCTAGGATCTGAACCGAGTAGGAGAAAGCTTCACTTCTTATAGTGCTCACTGGGCGCCAAAATAAAGCTGTGCCATTGGCTAAAATTACAGTTACATTTAAACCAATGAAATCCTGGTTTCGAAAGACTCTTATTTGGATTGGATAACTACAGGATGCCATCCAGAATTTACTACAATCACTGGATTTCTTCAATCACCTTCTTCGGCTAAGAAGCTGTGAGTGAAGAGGACAAGTACAGCCTGCTTTTCTTTACCCTTTCGGCTTTGGTGGTGGGGAGGGGGTAGAGGGGTGTTAGTTACTGTCCCCCGTGCCAATTAAGAAGCTGTGAATAAAGAGGGCAGTTAGAGCCTCACACTCATTGTGTTATTTTCAAGCCTTCAACAGTTACTCCCGGCCATGCCCGAGCCCGCCAAGTCGGCCCCGGCGCCGAAGAAGGGCTCGAAGAAGGCGGTGACCAAGGCGCAGAAGAAGGACGGCAAGAAGCGCAAGCGCAGCCGCAAGGAGAGCTACTCGGTGTACGTGTACAAGGTGCTGAAGCAGGTGCACCCCGACACGGGCATCTCGTCCAAGGCCATGGGCATCATGAACTCGTTCGTCAACGACATCTTCGAGCGCATCGCGGGCGAGGCGTCCCGCCTGGCGCATTACAACAAGCGCTCGACCATCACGTCGCGGGAGATCCAGACGGCCGTGCGCCTGCTGCTGCCCGGGGAGCTGGCCAAGCACGCCGTGTCCGAGGGCACCAAGGCCGTCACCAAGTACACCAGCGCCAAGTGAGCCCGCCTGCTGCAAAGGTATTGATCAGACACCCAAAGGCTTTTTGTGTTGTTGTTAAAGCCATCCACACTTTCCAAAGAGTGAGAGGCAAAAGCAAATGTTTGGGTTTTTGTTTTGTTTTGTTTTGTTTTGTTTTGAGAGGCAAAAGCAAATTTTCATCTGAAGGCTTTTGTACATGTTTCTTCATTTGTGCAAAGCTACATACATTTTGGTCTTGTGCATTTTCAATAAGGTCTAACTTTTTTTTTTTCCATGTTACAAACATCAAACACTCCAAAAGAAATTTATTATTCAGGGGCGCCTGGGTGGCTCAGTCGGTTAAGCGTCTGCCTTCGGCTCAGGTCATGATCCCAGCCCTGGGGTTGGGCTCCCATCTCAGTAGGGAGTCTGCTTCTCACTATTCCTCTCCCTCTGCCCCTCTCCCCCTGCTCGTGTTCTGTCTCAAAATCTTTTTAAAAAATTTTTATTGTGCATATTTCATTTTACTATCCTAATTCTAATTTTAAGAACCACCCATTGAACTAGTTAGTGAGAAAACTGCAAATTAGGGTGAAAAAGAAAAATATCCCTCAACTTGCAGTGAAAATCTTATTGGCAGAGCTTCTATTTATCTCCCTTTAGGTTATATCACCATTTTTCAGTCACCATCCTCCTTCCCAGTAGAATGCTCTGTGAATCACATAAATTGATTTAAAGGAAACTTACCAAGTCACATTCCCTTTCACTTATTCTTTAACATCAATGCTAGGTATGTTCCTTCTTGCTCCCTCACTCTAGGACTACATTTGCACAGAATAACCTCATGGTGTTGGGATAAATATGGAGAAAGGAAAATGAGAACCTAAATTAGTCACCTCTTTTCACCAGTTAAGGATGAGGATTGCTAATCCAGGCCCTACATCTGCAGTTGAATTTTTCTACTGGTTACTTCTTGTACACGTGTCTTGGCTAAGCCCAAGTCCCCTTCACTCCACCTCCTCATCTTTCCTAGTGAAGTTCCACAAAGATGGAAACTGATCCTGCTTCATGTTCATCACTCACGTTTTCATGTCCTCTATTTCTGGTGTGGCATTTCTGTTCATTGTGATTTTCACATGGTCAAGTCCCATTTTATGTCAACATATATATTATGAAAAATGGCTATATTTTTCAAAATCACAAAAAAATTTAGAAGAGTGGCATTGTTTTACACTTTGTATCTTTACTATCTCATTTAATGGAAGACAGCTAGATTTTTGCACAGTATTTGATTCTGCATTCAATCTATTGCAATATAATTGTCAAGTGAAAAACAGTGCAAAAATTAAGTTTCAGGATTATTACACAAATAAATTTAGCCTCACAGACCCACCAAAAGGGTCTCAGAAATCCCCTTAGGTCCCCAGATTGTATTTTGAGAATCAAAAAGAAAGCAAACATTTATTTATTTACTTATTTAGCAACCATAGTGTTGTTGGTATCTTTGGGGATGCCTTTGGCAGAATACACAGGATAATTTGAGAATTCCTTGCAAATCAGTTTGTGTTCCCAATGATGACTGTCATTAAAATGAAATTGCTGTCTTGAGATGAAATTTCCGTGAACAAGAGAGCATCAGTGTTTCTCAGGGGGCTTTTTCTGAGCCTTGATCTATAGCATTGAAGGAGGTGGGGCTTTCCTGTGTCAGCACAGAACTCGAGTACCAGGAGGGAAGCTTTCTCTGGGTGTGATGCTGACCTCAGAAAGGGAGGTATGAGACCTGGGGAAAGAGGAATCCCGAGACACACAGTGTAAAGGTCTGATCAGCTCGTCACAGGATTGGTTCCAATTGATTAGCATCATGAATTCTGCCAGTTTACATGCTGAATCCATTCCAAGTGACAACTAAATTGTTCTGTTTGTTTAATTTTAATTCTCACATTAGCACTACTTAAACACGGGGGTTCTTTCATGCTTTCTGGAGCACCACCTCCCCTTTTTTTTTACTCCTACTGTCAGTTCAGACATCTGAGATGGTCCTTACTTTCAGTCAGTATGATGTCTTGGACCCATTAATTCAAAACTTGTAATCAATTCTTCTTCAGTGACTTTTGGTTCTTGAATAGAGACCAAAATCTCCATCTAGGGTTTCTGTTAGGGAGTTCTCTGAGCACTCTGCACCTGCCTGACTCAGGGAACCTCAAGACCACTTTAATGGCACGTGCTGTTTCCAGATGATAAGTGCATGTTACCCTTTCCACTGAAAGTCCTTTATCTGGGCCCAGAATTTTTTTTTAATCTAACTCACTTTTCTTCCAGAGCTAATAGCATCATTCTTCTCTGCCAACAAAAGACACCACCTTCTCAAGGTTAATTTACCAGATTTGTTCAATCTAAATAATGTGTCTTTTTTTTTTCTTAATTTTTATTTATTTATTTGACAGAGAGAGACATAGCGAGAGCAGGAACACAAGCAGGGGGAGTGGGAGAGGGAGAAGCAGGCTTCCCGCCGAGCAGGGAGCCCGATGCAGGGCTCGATCCCAGGACCCTGGGACCATGACCTGAGCCGAAGGCAGATGCTTAACGACTGAGCCACCCAGGCGCCCAATAATGTGTCTTTAAAAACAATACAATTTAAAATTTAGAAAGCACACAATGGACTCTTATCCAGATATATATTAAAAGAATACTCATAATACCTTAGTAATTTTTATATTCCACTTTGAGCTTTTGGAAAAATTATATATAGTCCACAGAATAAACATAAGGATGCTGTTAGCATGTATAGTTCCTAATGGTTCTCCAAGTCATTATCATCTGTACACAACTTATTTGAAAAGAATATGGAATTTGAATTTTTCTAACATTCTTACTCCAAGAGGGTACCAAAAAATAGAAGGTTATGGACTGTCCAGTTTCTGATTATTCCATTAGTTCCATTAAATATAATATAAATAAAAATATAATATATGTATAATTATTTTAGGGCATGTATGTATTAATGTATGTATATAGTGTATTTGGGCTCACAGAATATATAGCTAAAATCTCAAAGGATTAGGATCTAGCTGTAGTCTCCATCTCAGTGCTGTTCTATAACTAGGAGCATGAAATAATCAGAAAATGGAGACCCAATGCCTTTGAATTTTTTGGCATCCCCTTGGAGTAAAAGTATTGGAAAAATTAAAATAGAATATATTTTACTGTAAGTGTATAAGTTTTATATGTATATATAATATATATGCACAAATATATATATATATATATACCATATATACACACACTCATTTTTTTATGATATAATTATTTAAATTGCAAGCAGTATCAAGTTTCAGTTACTTGGAAATAAATATAAATAATTGTATTTGGCCAAATACAAATACATTAATACTTACAGAATACCTTAATGTTCTGTTAGCTCATTTTCAAGATATGAGTTTAAAATGTTGGCGGGGGGGTGGGGAGTAAATTAAGATAAAGCTACAGTGCAACCAAATTAACACCAAGAATTCTTTTTAAAAAATCCAGTGTTATATTTTACAATGTTACCCCTCAAATTTGAGTGGAAGAATTTTATATAGTTCCATATTCTCAAAACACTTTCATAAGGACCAACCAGCAAAAACCACTAGTATGTTTGGGTTATAACATATTTTAGGTGCAACTCCATATTCACATCACATGTACATATTTCTAATATTAATTGGGGTGTAATTCATAGTTGTCTTTTTCTTAGATAAGTGCAGGGACTTTAGAAAGTTATCATTACTGAACATTTTTATGCAACACCTGAATATTTGCACGAATATTTGCATGCCTATATTCTCATTTTTATATTCTGTATTATTTTCACAATTAAAGCAGCTGTGATATAAAAAGTCTTTTTTTTTTTAAAAATAAAACACACCCAAAAAAGCCTTCATTTATTAGTGGATTGTTTCTCTTCATTCTAAGCATCTGAGGAAATCCTCTGGGAATTATTTTGTCTCTGTTTTGTTATAACAATACATTAAAATAATTCTCTTTCTTTTTAGGATTTTAATTTTGAGAGAGCACAAATGGGGGAGGGGCGGAGGGAGAGGGAGAAGCAGACTCCCGCCCCCACACACCCCAGTTGAATCATACAGTATGTAGCCTTTTCAGATTGGCTTCTTTCACTTAGTCATATGCATTTAAGGTTGCTCCATGTCTTTTCATGGTTTCATAGCGCATTTCTTTTTAGCCCTGAACGTTATCATAGTCTGGTTGTACCAATTTATTTATCTCTTCACCCACTGAAGGACATCTTGGTTGCTTCCAAGTTTTGACAGTTCTGAATAAAGCTAATATATACTTCTGAGGGCAAGTTTTGTGTGTACATAAATTCTTAACTCCTTTGAGTAAATACCAAGAATGTACTTGCAGGATTGTGTGGGAAGAATATGTGTGGTTTTGTAAGAATTGGCCAAACTGTCTTCCAAGGTGGGAGACACTATTCCATTTTGCATTCGCACCAGCAGTGAGCGATGACCCACCTTGCTTCACATCCTCGCCAGCATTTGGTGTTTTGACTATTCCAGATTTTGACCTTTCTAACTGGTATGTAGTGGTGTTTCTTTGCCTTTTAATTTATGTTTTTTATAGTGATGGCAGTCTATCATGTTACTTCATTGTTCTGTATTCCTTTCACAAGAAGTTTACTCGAGTTTTTCAAGTAATTTTTTATTTTAGGATTTTATTTATTTATTTGACAGAGAGATCACAAGTAGGCAGAGAGGCAGGCAGAGAGAGAGGGGGAAGCAGGAGCCACACTGAGCAAGGAGCCCAATGCGGGGCTCGAGCCCAGGACCCTGAGATCATGACCTGAGCCGAAGGCAGACGCTTAATGACTGAGCCACCAAGGCGCCTCAAATAATTTTTTAAAAAGCTTTGGAAAGTTTCACAGATTTTCTATAAACCTGTTACTGTTTTGACTTTCTATCACTTTCAAAGGCTTTAAACTTTACTTTCTTCTCTTTTAAATTCCTTTATGCAAAATTCAACTGTGCAATGTAGGAAAAATTTCCTCTGCTTTTGGATTTAGCAGTAATCCTCCTAGCAATAGTGATAGTTAAAGGAGAAGACTTTTGATTTTGTTGAAATGTGTTTGATAGACTAAGAAAGTTAAGCCACAGCACAAAGAAACCACAGCAGAGGAATAAACCACTGACAAAATCCTAAATGCTGGAAGGAAACGTAAAGATCATCTTGTTAAACCCTGCTCTCATTTACAGTTGAGTTGGAAACGAGAGATGTCATGGGAAGCCCACTGTCACGCCAGAACCCAGGCCCCCGTGCGCACGCGTGTGTTCCTGCCAAACACAGGATTCAGGGGCAGCAGGATAGGAGGGAGAGCATGGCTCATCCATCCAGCATATATTTACTGTTCTGTGCCAGGGATTGTCACACGTTTACTTTTGAAAATTAGCAATTTTATTATAAAAGATGTTTTTGGTTAGTAACATAGAGGCCAAAACCTTTAAGATATTTCAAGTATGGATAAACAGTAAGTAGAGCATATGTCGTTCAATAGAGATTGTAGGGATGACAGAGTCCAGAGATCTGGCTAAATGTATGAGACAGTAAATATTTGGAATTCATTGACACAAGAGTCCCATAAAGCCCTCAGTAAACAGGGGGCCTTAGATGAGCCCTGCTTTGGGCCCCCCAGGAGCTCGCAGACAAAGCCTGCGTCTGTCCCACAAACCGCGGGGAGTGCGGGTGTGGCCCGGCTCGCTGCCCCGCATCTGTCCCAGGGGCCCAAAAGGAGAGCCGAGATGTACGAGCGAGCACGCGCTTGACTCCCACAGCGGGGCTCTCACCCGCTTGCCCACCAAACTGGCAGCTTGCGCATCTTTTCTCCCTTGCTTACCGCATTTCTAACTGATTTAATAAGCTGTGATTTGAGCATTTAGATGCAGCCCAAGAGCCTTTCTCTGCGGTGTCCCCGGGAGAGCTTGCGGGGTGCGATGCTTGGAGGCTACCTGGGCCTCAAGGTAATTTCTTTTTTTTTCTTTTTTAAGATTTTATTTATTTGAGACAGAGAGAATGAGAGAGACAGCACATGAGAGGGGGGAGGGTCAGAGAGAGAAGCAGACTCCCCGCCGAGCAGGGAGCCCGATGCAGGACTCGATCCAGGGACTCCAGGATCACGACCTGAGCCGAAGGCAGTCGCCCAACCAACTGAGCCACCCAGGCGCCCTCAAGGTAATTTCTTGCATGATACTAATGATGGACTGGAACAAGGCCGCAGAACAGGGACATTTGGGCAGCGAATGTAGGAGACAAGGAAGAGCTGTCGGGGAGCACTGCAGTCGAGGGAAAGGAAGTGCACACATTCCCGGGGCACCGGGCTCAGCGTGTCTGAGAAGGAACAGCAAAGGGATCGGGGTGGTTGGAGCAGAGGAAGCACGAGGGAGCCTGGGATCGGGGGCCTAAGACAGACCGGGGCCAAAGCACACAGCACCCCAGAGACCAAGGGAAGGGCTTTCAAGTTTTGAAGCTGATCTGACAAGGGTTTTAAAGGAATCTCGGGGCTGCTGAGGGGAGGCAGAATCGAGGAGCACCAGGCGGGGAGCAGACACCTGGTTGGAAGCCTCTGCCATGACCAGGAGAGAGGAGGTGGAGTGTGGAGTAGGGTGGTGGTGCCGGAGAGTGTGAGGGACTCGGCGTCTGCATCTGTGTCTCCCTCCATCGCTGCCAAGAGCACCTTCTTGCCCAGTCTTATCCCTGCACGCTTCTGCCAAATTAAAAATCTCTAAAATGTCACTTGCCTCGTTAAAAACCTTTTCCAAACAATGCTTCTCTTCCTGCACAAATGAATCCAGGCTCGTTTCCCTTGGTACCGCGTTACCTGAGCCCTGAATGCTGGTTCTACTTTGAAGAATTTGCCCATTCTGTTCCATCTCCCTCAGAACACAGCACACTAGGGGGCGCCTGGGTGGCTCAGTCGGTGAAGCGTCTGAACTCAGCTCAGGTCATGGTCCCAGGGGCCTGGGATCGAGCCCCGCATCGGGCTCCCTGCTCATCGGGGAGTCTGCTTCTCCCTCTCCCACTCCCCCTGCTTGTATTCTGCTCGCAGTCTGTCAAATAAATAAATAAATAAAATGTTAAAAAAGAAAAAGAATACAGCACACTAGATCATGATGCATTAATCAGATAGATCGTGTATAAAGCTCCTTCAGTTTCCTGTATTAGGATATATGTCCTTTAGGACAATGGCCGTGTTTTTTTGCATTGCCTGTTTCCCCAAGGACACACTTAGTGATAACTGGCCCCCTTCTTCCATCTCACCCCGTGCCCCCCAAAGACACATTTATTTTCATTTCTTTCCTTCTAGGCCGGTACAACATCTCAGAAAAAAAAGGACAGGAAAACAGAAAGTGAAAACTAAGGTTTGGGGATAGCTTGTCCCAGGACAAGGAGGTGCAGTGGGCTTTGTCTTTCCCAGAGCGTGTTCTCACTCCGTGTCTAACTACTGAAGTTCCAGAAAGGGCAGTTCTTCAACATCGTGGACTGATTTTACGGAGAGAGGACAGGTCTGATACACAGGCGGGAGGCATCTGCGATGAGCTCACTGTGCAAAGGCCTCCCGGGAGGTGGCTGTGGGAAGTTCATTCCTTCTTTGGGATCACCAGGCCTCTGTGTTGTAATCTGAGGAGAGCTGAGTCCCCATTTGTTCTTAAGGTCTAAGGTACAGCTAGCCAGTGTCACAGTGGATCCCACAGAGGTGGACCACCACTTGTATTTCAATGTCCTGCTGTGCCTTTTCTGTTCACTGAGCTAAAGCTGAATGTAAATCTCATGGTTGCTGCCCGAGTTCAAAGCCAGCGGACTGGCTTTGCAGACCCAGAGCTGGCCGGGGTGTCAGCAACTGGGGGGGACTTCTGTGTGAGGGGCCCTTTTCCTTTAAGAGCTGTCCACCTCGTCTCCAAATCAAGGCCCCCTGGTTGTTCACACGTCCACAGGTAAGCTGCTGGGAAGACAAGGAGTTTGGGACTATTCCATGAGGCACAGGGACCAATTGGCTTACCCAGGGCTGATGCAACGGACGTTCCAGCATCGCAGACTATTTCTGGGGACATTCTGGCATTCCTGGAAGCTTTCCGGCGGCTCCCACCATTGACATCTCCCTTCTGCAGCTTCTGCAATGAAAGTTATCAGTGTCTGCCTTCTCAGAGAACAATAGTGGCCCTTAGCGAGCATTCTAGAAACCAAGCAGACTGTTTTTTAGTCTGTCCCAGGGCTTGGGGGAAGGTGCACCACTGCCATTTAGGAAAAGATCAGGGATGCTAGATGTCCCATGAAGAACTAAGTCGGGTTTTGCACGACTTCCAAGTGCCCCACAGCAAATCTGAAGGTAAAAAACCTGTTAATCAATCCTAGAACCTGACTCCTACAAAGAAGCACGAGGTCTTTGCGCATGTGTGTGTTTCTGTGTAGTTCAATGGGCACCGCAATTTCCAAGAATGCCATCATTTTATAAATTGAGATTGTATTTTGTTCTTTTCAAATGTCCCCCAAGAATTATTGTTTTAAAAAAAAATGTCACATCACTGAGAGTAAGTCTCTTCTTGGTGTTTGATCCTCTGAGTCGATCTACAGGATCCTTTTTGCCTTCAGGATGATTCTACCTACAGGTTCTGTGACAACTGATTTGTGTGTCGACTTGACCGGGCTGTGTGTTACCCACATATTTGGTCAGACATCATTCTGGGTGTTTCTGTGAGGGGGCTTTTGGATGAGAGTAAAACATTTAAATTGGTAGACTTAATTTGTAAAGCAGATTATTCTCCCTAATGTGGGTGGGCCTCATTCAATCAGTTGAAATTAAGAATGGAACACAAAGGCTGTCCTTCCCCTGAATAACAATTCCTCATGTCTGGTTGCTTTGGAACTGGGACATTGGCCTTTTCCTGCCTTTGGACTCAGACTGAGACATGGGCCCTGCCTGGGTCTCGAAGCTGCTGGCCTCCGGACTGGAACTACGCCGTCGGCTCCCCTGGGTCTCCAGTTTGCCAGCTCAGCCTGCAGATCTGGAGCCTTGTCGGCCTCCATAATCACATGAACCAGTTCTTTATAAGAAATCTCCTAATATCTATATGCACATCCATCCCATTGGTTTTATTTCTCACTAATACAGGTACAAATACCCAACTTCTAATTTATGTTTTTGAGTGTAGGGCCCAAGCAATGACATGTTGTTGAAATTATCTCCTTTATTGTTAAAATAACAGTCTCTTACTTTGTTTTTATGTAACAGTATGGTGTTTCATGATTTTGAAAAATTATTCATGCGTTTAAGTATTATTACCTAAGAATTTAACATCAGTAAAAAAAAAAAAAAAAAACCTTAAATATCAAAGGGGAGCCTTGGGGATGACAGCTATGGGAACCACTGCTTTTCATACATTAAGCCCAAGAATGTAACCTGTTTATTAAGCTATGCAAGCACAGACATCACAGCGATGTCAATAACACAGGACACGACCCCCCCTGCCAATCTCAACGGCCGCGGCGGGCCCTGACCCGAGCCTCTGCCCTTATGCCTTGAAATTTAAGGTTTCCCCAAATTAATATCTTTGGGACTCCAGAGTTCCCTTATAGCTTTTCATAATTTCTCCATCAAAAAGACTTGCTAATTTTTTATGTAAATGCAGACCTTTGGCTGAGGCACTGATTTTATTCTTCCTTCTATCAGTGGGAATTCTGGTGCACCTGCAGGGGGAGGGGCTTTGTCTTTCTAGTCTACCCCACCCATGTTCTTTGCACTTTTCAGGCCCTCTTTAAAGTCGTCTTAAGCTGAAGCAGTCCTATTCATTGACCCCTAGGAATACTTACATGTATGTTCAACTCTGTAGGACTTGATAGGAACTTTTTATCCTTATTCAAGTCTGGAAAAAAATATCCTTGTGCTTTATGTTAATTGGTTTTGTTTTTTAATACCATACATCTGCTTTACTCTTGAAATCTCCCAAGAGGCTGATTCGGTGATGTCAGAAAAGGTGAGCCTCTGAAATGGAAGTTAAAAGGTATCAGACAATGGATAAACTAGTCATCTGCAGAAAAAATACACGTTTGAGATGGTTTGGACAGTTATAGATGATGAGATGCAGGCGTTTTTCACATCGAAGAACCTAAAATGTAACTAAGATAAGTTGTGGTCTAATTTAATGTGCCCGATACAGTGTCCTAACTGAAGGATGGCAAACTGCACGGAATCTAGAAAGGAGTAAAAAAAGAGTTAAGCTTTGTCAGTAAATTTTGTTCAACCACCATAGAATGGAGTTTTCAAGGAAGAAAATATGAATTTCTCTAACCTGGACAAAGGCCAGTTTCAGGTAACATAACTTGGGGGAAAAAAATCTCTCCTTTAGGATAAGACTCTCTTGTCTATTTTAATGTTCCAATTTGTTCTTTTGTGTTCTAAAAATTGTTCTTTAGGGGGGAAAATGACAAAAAGTATTATCAGGAGCAAATCATGTGAATTATTAAAGCTACCAGCCGTTCCAGTATAAAATAGTAAAGTGACATCCAGGTCTGGCTGAGCTCAAGTCCATTTCCCAAGGCTGATCAGCAATGACACAAATTAATCAAGATACTTTGAACAACAAAAGTGTTAGATGCCTGGATCACCAAGGCGCCAATAACCCACAAAATCTAGCTTTGAGTTCTTTTTTTATTTTTCTCTCCTTTTCTTTTAGGAATTTCAAGTTTCTAAATACTGGACTGTAATGGGCCCGATATGTGAACCTCTTATAGAGGGGCCATAGATTCCTTCTGCATGCTTCTGTCCATTCTGCACAGAGTTCAGCTACCCCTTCCCCATATTCTAGACACGGTTCCTGCTGACAACTGCAAGTCATCCCAGCAGTCCTTGCTAGCCCACCATACCTGTCTGTACCCACACCTACACAGGTATGTGTATCCGTAATGTCTTCTCTACCTCTATCTGTACACACATGCATTCTCCAGGCCCAGGACATACATGGTCAGCTAACTGAATCCATCTAAATCCTCTTCCCATTTCCTCCCCTGGATTTCTATCTGCTGTTTCCCTCATTCTGTAAAACAAAGAAATAACCAGAATTTGCTATTGATTGTCTGCATCAATGGATTAATGGACAGGATGAAAGGCTTCTGTGCTCTGAAAAGTAGTGATTAAAAGAACCAAATATCTGCATGGAGCACTGGATGTTATGCACAATGAATCATGGAACACTTCATCTAAAATTAATGATGTAATGTATGGGGATTAACATAAGAATAAAAAAAAAAAGAACCAAATATGTGGTGAATTTACTATCATCAACTATCCTGAGAGATGATGGAAGGAGAAAAGATACATAAATTTAAAAAGTATAATTTCTTTTCTAACAATTGAGGGAGGGATATACATACATACATATATATGAATACATGAAAGACATACAAAATACACACACCTGCGTACCTCCTCATACACATTCCGGTCAGAGAGCTGTCACAAAGATTTTGAAAAATCTGAGTAGACTGAAAGTTTACAAGAGCTGGAGGAGGAAGGTTGCTCACTCTTGGTAGCCCAACTTGAGTTTTCTAAATTCATAGGCCTTCCTAATGACCTGTCAGTCTTTTTCTCCCACTCTCTAAAAGAAACACCATAAGGTTTGGAATTCTCCTTTATAAGATTTCCTTTATGACAAAGTAGATGATGCTTGGAACTTGTTTTTATGCAAGGGTCCTCTCCCTACTATAGTTTTCAGTATAGTATCTGATACATAAAGGGAATATATGTAACATACATCTTAAATTTAAAACAAATTGTATCAGGGGCGCCTGGGTGGCTCAGTCGTTAAGTGTCTGCCTTCGGCTCAGGTCATGATCCCGGGGTCCTGGGATCGAGCCCTGCATCGAGCCCCGCGTCGGGCTCCCTGCTCCGCGGGAGGCCTGCTTCTCCCTCTCCCACTCCCCCTGCTTGTGTTCCCTCTCTCGCTGTCTCTCTCTGTCAAATAAATAAATAAAATCTTAAAAAAAATAAAAATAAAAAATAAAACAAATTGTATCAGACACCCAGGATGGAACTTCTAGCAGTAAATCTAGAATGCTGGCAACGACTTGTATTTACCTCTGTCTTTGTCTACATCCTCTCGCTGTGACTGTCACTGAGGTATCCATTTCCTGATTTTTAAAAACTCATTTATAAAGCTCTTAAAAATGTTTTCGAATCATACACTTACATGTGCTTCTCTACATGCTTAAATAATTATTTTTGAGCTTTATAAAGTGGTATCATATATGAACCTTCTGAGATTTAGGTTTCTGAAATTCAACCAAGTTCTACTGTGTATTTAGTTTTTTTCTCCCCCTCTCTGTATGGACCCCTATTGAGTGACTATCTCAATAAATTTGTTGAGTGGGCGCCTGGGTGGCTCAGTTGGTTAAGCGACTGTTTTCAGCTCAGGTCATGATCCTGGAGTCCCAGGATCCAGTCCCGCAGCGGGCTCCCTGCTCAGCAGGGGGTCTGCTTCTCCCTCTGACCCTCCCCCCTGTCATGCTCTCTCTATCTCAGTCTCTCTCTCAAATAAATAAATAAAATCTTAAAAAAATAAATAAATAAATTTGCTGATTCTTTTGGCCATGAATATGCGGTTGCTTCTCCTGTTTTGCGAGTAAGAATAGCGCTGCTCCCTTCTCCTGTGTCTCCTGCTCAAAGCGTGCAGAATATTCTCACGCGAACACCTCAGCTCCGTAATTGGATAAAGGATATGATCCAAAAAAACTTCACCAAATACAACTCAGTGTGGAAGTGTTTCCCCCCCGAGTCCCGGCAGAGACCAAAATACCCTTAAATGTGCCGTTCCTAAGGGCTTAAGTCGGGGAGAGGGATTTTGACGTCCTGAATTGGGGGTGAAGGCCCAGCGCTTCCCCCCTCCTCTAGTCTTCTTTTTAAATGTCTTCCAGTAGAACCACGGAATGCAATGACACGGAAAGAAAATATGGTGGAGTGGATTCTGACCGGAGAGGTAGGCACCTGAGCCCGGTCCTTCCCATGAGAGGAGTTTCACCCAGAGGAACGGGGGGGGAGAGCGGCAGCTGGTCCCGCTCGCCGCGCGGCGCCCAACTCGGGGCGCGGCCCGCGGGGCCCTTGGGACCGCGCGCGCGGCGTCTGGACTGGCTCCCACACCCACGTGCCACGGGTCGCGCACGGACACTTTCAGGCCGGCTCTGCCTGCCATTTTTCGGCTGCCTTTCTAGCTCAGTGCGTGGAAATACGAACTCCAGGGACCGAGCCAGCACCGCCCCCGAAACGACCTGTGCGCCTCTTAGCGCGTGCCCAGCGCCCCGTCGCTAAGGTGCCCCTGAGAATTAGGGACAGAGCGCCAGAGGCATTATCAGTACGACCTTTTGCCAGGTTGGGATTTTCAAAGGTGACCAGGTTTTGCTTTGGAGACAAAGAATATTTTATTTTGCCCCATCTGTCTGATAATGAACATGATCCTTCCTGGCCGAAACCTTTCTAAATACATCTCCAGCGCTACTTCAGCTTCCGATACATTGTAACTAATTTCCCGCCAGGTGAAAACACGCAATTCAGATACTGTTTCTTTACAGCAAATAAAACACCCAGGGCACATGAGCGCCAGTTCTCTCTAGAACGCTGAGTGGCTCTGAAAAGAGCCTTTGGGGTGTGTGCCGAGCCTTACCGATTGCTCTGCAGCAGGCGGGCTCACTTGGCGCTGGTGTACTTGGTGACGGCCTTGGTGCCCTCGGACACGGCGTGCTTGGCCAGCTCCCCGGGCAGCAGCAGGCGCACGGCCGTCTGGATCTCCCGCGACGTGATGGTCGAGCGCTTGTTGTAATGCGCCAGGCGGGACGCCTCGCCCGCGATGCGCTCGAAGATGTCGTTGACGAACGAGTTCATGATGCCCATGGCCTTGGACGAGATGCCCGTGTCGGGGTGCACCTGCTTCAGCACCTTGTACACGTACACCGAGTAGCTCTCCTTGCGGCTGCGCTTGCGCTTCTTGCCGTCCTTCTTCTGCGCCTTGGTCACCGCCTTCTTCGAGCCCTTCTTCGGCGCCGGGGCCGACTTGGCGGGCTCGGGCATGGCGGGGAGTAACTGTTGAAGGACCTGAAAATAACAGGAAGAACGAGTATGAGGCTCTAAGTGTCCTCTTTATCCACAGCTTCTTAAACAAAGGAGGCAGTGAGTCAAATCCTGTATCTAATTGGCGAATTCTGCAAACGTCACGTATTAATTTTGTTCAATCAAAAGAAGTGTATTTGAAAACCAGGATTCCATTGGTTTAAGTGAAACTGTAATTTTAGCCAATGGCACAGCTTCATTGTTGTGCCCAGTAGAGACTATAAGTAGGGTAGCTCCGGCGGCTTGAACTCTGACCCTACTCAGGTCTGTTCCTTTTTCTCCATCATGTCAGGTCGCGGCAAGCAAGGCGGCAAGGCGCGCGCCAAGGCCAAGACGCGCTCGTCGCGGGCCGGCCTGCAGTTCCCGGTGGGCCGCGTGCACCGCCTGCTCCGCAAGGGCAACTACGCCGAGCGGGTGGGCGCCGGCGCGCCCGTCTACCTGGCGGCCGTGCTCGAGTACCTGACGGCCGAGATCCTGGAGCTGGCGGGCAACGCGGCGCGCGACAACAAGAAGACGCGCATCATCCCGCGCCACCTGCAGCTGGCCATCCGCAACGACGAGGAGCTCAACAAGCTGCTGGGCCGCGTCACCATCGCGCAGGGCGGCGTCCTGCCCAACATCCAGGCCGTGCTGCTGCCCAAGAAGACCGAGAGCCACCACAAGGCCAAGGGCAAGTAGCACTCTAGCAGAGTGTGCGCCTCCAACCCCCCGTCCAAACCAAAAGGCTCTTTTCAGAGCCACCCACCTAATCAAAAAAAGAGCTGTGCCTTTAAGTCGCATTGTTGGCATAGCAAGGTGTTGAATACTGACAAACCCTGTAAAGAAGAAAGAAAAGCTTGCCTAAGGTATTTGTAGATCTGTCATTTGACCCAAGAGTCCCTACACTGAAGTCACCTTGCAAGAAGAAAAGACAAACTTGCTTTAATGAGCCCATGTGAGCAAAATGTGGGTATCCTTGATTCCTCTGCAGGATCAAATGTCCATCTGGAACACAAACTTGGCATCCTATTATGGCAGGGACAGATAGAGGGAGGGACAGGCAAAGAGGAATCAAGTAGGACCTGAGGCCACTGGGTAAGATCCCTATCAAGTCTCTGGCCTCCCCGGAATACCAAGGAGGAAAAACAACCCCAGGGGGCCGGGCTGGGGAAGATAGTCTTGCTAGAAAACTTCCCCCGGGGCCAATCAGACAAAGACATGAAGAAATCTTGAAGGATCTGGGCTGCAACAACCCCAGCTAAAACTGCATAAAAAAAAATCTGTCCTTGCTGGGGGTGGGAGGGGGTTACTCCCAGATCTCCCCTCTCCGTGTGAAGAGCTGATTCTATCCTCTTAAAACTTTGCTTTGCTGCCCCCCACTCTGTGTCTGGTCTCCCTCTTCATTCCTCCGAGCGGCGTGACTGAGGACCGTGGGCACCAGAAAGCTGGGGTAAGAAAAAATCCTGAAACTCTTGGGGGCTCCTCCAGGATCTCTGGTCGTCATCAAGGACCTCTAACCGTGAGTAGTGGACCCCGAGTCTCTCCTCTCTGTTACAGTCAACATGATGGGCACTCATCATCTCAGAGTGCATAGCGTGGCTGCCATCCTCAAGTCTCGAGTGGTAGGCTCCCACCGGTCCCTCCTCAAGGGGAAGGAATGCAAAATCCCCGGGAAGGTCCCCGCAGACGTCCTCTTGCCAGAGGCCTCCAAGGGATCGCAACCACAGTTCCCCGTTACGGTGAGGAACAGCCTTCTGCCTCTGCCCTCCATCTGTGGTGGCACCTCTGAGTCCTACCCCTTCACCCGTTACCCTGTCAGGTGGACAGAACACTTAGACATGTGGCCTCCTCCGGGATCTGGCCCAGAACTTGTTAGAAGTAGCCTCCCACCCCCCACACAACTTGAATTCCCTTATTGGGGTCCCGCTGGCACTGTTCTATCTGCGACCCTCCAGCCACTGAGCATGCTTGTTGTTTTTGTGTGACGGACACTAGATCCTCACACCGTATGGATCAGGCTCGCTGGACATCAGGAGGGATTGCCTCCGGGACACACGGGGACCATTTTATTACACTTGGCAAGGTGCACGCCCCTCTGCTCAGCTGCGACCATCCTAAGATGGACCCTGTCTGGCCGGAACACATCTGAGTAGGTGTTGCTGAGAAGGGCAAGGGAACGGACCTCTACCTTGGCTGTTTCCCCCTTCCCCGGCAGCCCGCCCTGTGCCTCCAGAAATTGGCCTTTGTTAACCACTTAAAACGGGTCTGTCAGACAGAGCAATTTTATCAGGCCCATCATGCCAACTCTCAACGGGCCAGGAAAATTCTGGCACACCCACCCGCCACTAAAGGAGCCTTACTGGGTCACAACCAGGATCCTTCGAGGCCTGTGGCTGGGAAATGCAAAGAGAATAAGAGTCAGGACAAGCAGGGTCGCTCCCTGGAGGTAGAGCCCGGTAAGAGAGACTCTTAGCGCCTGGCAGAAGAGACAGCGGCCCTGCCTGCCGGTCGCAAAGCCCCCAGGACACTGGATCGGGAAGAGGCCCTTCTGATCAACTATGAGGAACTGAGGTAAGGGATGCCATTTCCGCTCTTCCTAGAGACGGGCAATTGCAATCCCCTGACCAAAGCCAGTACTCCTTTGCTTCCTGAATAACTGTAATGGTTTGACCCACAAACCTTAAAGAAAAGGCAGCTTACTTTCTTTTGTTCCAAGGCATGGCCACAGTACAAATGGGAGGAGGAGACATGGCGGCCTGAGGGACGTATCGGTTATAATACCCTGTTACAACTGGACTGGTTTTGCAAACGTGAGGGAAATGGGGAGAAGTACCCAATGTGCAATGTTTCTGGGCCTTAAGGGAAAATAAGGGCCTGGGCCAGCCTCCTGGCCGCTCTCTTTCATGGCCGGACACTGGGGGACAGGAACGCAAGAAGACCACACCTACACCAAAGGCAGACAGGCAGATGGCGTCCGCAGAGGATTTCCCGCTCCTTGCTCCATCTTCCCTAGGGTCTCCACCAATTTATCCAGATTTCAGATCAGGCGCCCTTACCTGCCCGCCCTACCCAGGACCCCCTGCTGATGCTCGGGGGTTCTATCTCTTGCAAGAATATGTAGGACCTGGAGGAGGACCAAGGGGACCTGTCACTGTGGCTCAGGTACATTGCCCTTGTCGTTGCAAGACCAGAGATGAAGGGGAGCCTTGGGGATTTTCCAACAGCCCAGATAAATGTATAGACGTCTTCCAAAATTTCACTTATGTGTTTGAATTAACCTGGAAGGAGGTAATGCTCCTGTTCAATCAAACCCTCTCTGAGGTGGAGAAATGCGGGGTCCTGGCCACCGCTGAGAGAACAGGGACGAAGAGCTGATTAATTTTCAGGGCACGGGTGGGCCCATGGGGGACTTCCATTTCCCAACTGGAGCCCAAGCTGTCCCTTCCCAAGACCCCAGTTGGGACCCTAACGATCCCCTCAGAAACTGGTACCTCGGTCACTTCTGGGCCTGCATTCTGGAGGGATTAAAAAGGTCAAAGGTTCAGGCGCCTGGGTGGCTCAGTCGGTTAAGCGACTGCCTTCGGCTCAGGTCATGATCCTGGAGTCCCGGGATCGAGTCCCGCGTCAGGCTCCCTGCTCAACGGGGGGTCTGCTTCTCCCTCTGACCCTCTTCCCTCTCGTGCTCTCTCTCACTCTCTCTCTCAAATAAATAAAGAAAATCTTTAAAAACTCGAGAGGAAAACATGACGGCCTTCTTAGAGGGGTTGAGGGGGGCTCTCATTAAATATACAGCTATCTCCCCCTATTCTCCTGAGGCTGAGATCATTCTCAAAGACAAATCTGTGATCCAGTCAGCCCCGGATATTCGGAAAAAGCTGCAAAAGTCAGCTGCTTAGAAGAGCTCTTAGGAGCTGGTAACTGGGTCTTTTACAACCGGGACCTAGAGGAGAGTAAGGAATAAGAAAAGAGGCTAAGAAAGAATTCTGAGGCCCTAGTTGCGACCTTATAAGCCCTGAGGCTCTGGTACCAGATGCCACATCTGTGCCGCCCAGGGCACCGGAAGCCAGAATGTCCTCAAAGGGGACAGCCAAAATCAAAGCCCCACAAGCCCTGTCTTACTTGTGGAGGAGGACCGGAAATCTGAATGCCCTCAAGCGTCTCCATCTGCCAGAGCTCAGATGACCTGCACCCCGACAGGGTCTGATGGGACCTGGAGCTCTTCATGGTGGCTCCCCAGAACAGCTTGCCGTTGGGAACCCAGAGCCTCGGGTAATTCCCGAGATAGAGGGAGTGCCAGTCAATTTCCTTGCACCTTCCTGGTTCCTCTCTCCACCCCGGGGCCAGCTGTCCAGACTCAGTGCTGTTGTCAAGGGCATCACTGGACAGCCCAGAATCAGATTTTTTTCTCGCCCGCTGGGATGCACCTGGGGAGATCTAATTTTCTCTCACTCCTTGTGAGAGCCCCACACCTCTCTTAGGTGGCGATATTATGGCCAGTCTGGGAGCTCTCATACTGATGGCCCCTGGACAAACTAGCAATTGCCTCCCCTTAATAGAGGCTGATGTTTATCCCCAGGTCTGGGCAACTCAGGGAGAAGTGGGTTGGCCCTTACCTGCAGTGCCCATTCGCACACACTTTAAAGACCCCCACAACTTTCCCCTGTCGGAAACAATACCCTCTAAAGCCAGAAGCAAAGAGGGCCTTTTGAGCACTCTGATCCCCAGACCCCAGAGGCAGACAGTGAGTGGGGAGCTTGGGGAAGATTGGCAAGTGGATTTCACACATATGCCTAAGGCACAGGGGTACAAAAGTCTCCGGGTTTGGGTAGATACCCTGCACACACTGGGTGGAGGTCTTCCCCTGCAGAACCAAAAAGGCCACAGAGGTGGTAAATGAAATCGTCCCTCGGTTTGGACTCCCCCAGTCCCTTCAAAGTGATAACAACCGCTCCCGTAAGTCCCAGGGGACAGAGGAATTCACTGTCACCCCCACTGTGCCTGGACACCCCAATCCTCGGGAAAGGGAGAAAGCACTAATGAGGTTATTTAAAAGCACCTCAGAAAAGCATCTCAGAAACAAGAAACTAGTCAAAATTAGGTGTCTCTACTCCCTATTGCCTTACTCCAGATTAGAAACACCCCCACAGAAAGGTCTTATATGGGAGACCCTTCCGTGTAAATGACCTGCTGGTGACAGGGGAGTCTTTGACTTGGTAAACAGTGTCATCCCTCTGGCAAGGTCTCCGCAAGCTCTTCAGGAGCTTTTTAACCCCCAGCTCCAAGACAACCAACCTTCCCTGTATCGTCCCAGGGACCAAGTGCTTGTGAAAACTCTTCCCTCTTTATCTTTGTCCCTAGAGTCTGTCTGAGAAGGCCCACACACAGTCATCTTAGCCACCCCAACGGCCGTCAAGGTACCCGAGATCGAGGCCTGGATCTACCATTCTAGGGTCAAGCCCTGGTTTCCAGTGGAACAAGACAACAGGAAACCAAGATACCACTGCGAGCCTGGGAAGGGCTCAAATGCATCTTTGAAAAACAGAAAAGCCAGCAACACCAAGCTAAGTACTTCAACCCCTGATCAAACATGCCTTCGAATGCATTTATTCTCTTTCTCCTTCTTTCTCTTCCCGAACTTCTACATTGCCACTCATCTGCAGGGACCCTAGGATGGGTTCAACTCAATGCCACTCCCCTCAATTTGACTGATTGTTGGGTATGTGGGAATGACTCAGTAGGAACTGCTGTGCCCGCCCCTATTGCGGTCTGGCTACGGGCTAATTACTCCGTCACCCCTTTTGTCTCCTATATTAATTCATTCCCCACTCAAAATATAGAGCAACTATTCTTTAAAGCCTGGAAGAAGGACATGGAAACCAAAGTAGCCAGTGTCCCTTGGTCCAACAATACCCCAAACCTTGCCTGGTTGGATCGGCTCCAGCTCAGTACCTCAACAACATTCCCTATTTGCTTTGAAAACTCCATTTACACTCCAAACTCTGGGTTCTTTGTAGGAAATCTTTCCACGTCCCAATGCAACTTCACCTTCCAAGTCACTTCGACCTCTATAGAGGAACACTGGAATAGTTCCCTGTTCAACTCCCTCAGCTCCTACAAAGATCCTGATAAACCTCACCTCTTCCTCCGGGCCCAGTATCCCCCAAAGGAAAAGACATCTTTTTGTACCTCCGCTAACAACTCCTGTTCAGCAGGGTGGTCTCAGGTGTCCTGCCATTCTTCTACACTAGGATTGGCCAAAGGTTTACTCCTCTCATCCCAAGAATTCTTTCTTAAAATCTATCCTTCCAGCTCACTTGCTTCCACAGTGGGTGAGCGGCTCCGTTTAGATGCTTCCCTAATATGGAAAAAATTGTCAGGAGCTGCCTCTACCTCCCCGCCAAAGCTTCTCTTTAAATATGGGTTCCACCTAAATCTCCGAGCAGAGGACGGTTTATTCTTCTGTTGTGGGAAAAGGGCATACATTACCTTACCCCCGCAGTGGAGAGGGCGATGCTCTTTAGCCTTCTTAGCTCCGCTCACGGACTACGCCCCCGGGTCCAGCCACATGCCGCAGGCTGTAAACCAAACCAAGCCTGGGGTATAGAGACTCGCAGTACGCACACAGCAAAGAAACTCCTTGAGGGCATGGCCCTCCAAAATCCCCAGGCCCTGGACCTCCTAACCCCCCACGCAGGGGGTACCTGCACCCTCCTCCAGGAAGAAAGCTACTTTTATATTAACAACACGGGTCAGGTGGTCACTCATTCAGATTCATCAGGTAACCTGGTGGCCCAAATAGAGGACCTCTCCTCCTGGTGGACCTCCCTTCGGGCCCAGCTGTTACGCTGACTGACTATGGCCATTCATGGCCCCAGTATTAGTCCTCTTCCTTCTGCTTCTTTGACGACCTTGTATTCTAAATGACCTTATCCAATTTGTGTCTTCTCGTTTAGAGTCCATCAGGCTTCAAATGGTCCTGTCTATGCAGCCACAGATGGAGACAGCCCCTACCTATTATCGGGGCCTCTGGACAGACTTCTGAACCAGTCGACGCCCCTCCCCAGCAGGAAGTAGCCATAGATCGGTCATCACCCCTGTTCCTTATGGCAGTTAGGAGTTACCTGTTCAGAGGGGGGAATATGGCAGGGACGGATGGGAGAGGGACAGGCAGAGAGCCATACAGTAGGACCAGAGGCCCCAGGGGTAAGATCGGCATCGTGCCTGCTCAGCCTCCCTGAAAAACCACAGAGGAAAACAACCCCAGGGGGCTGGGCTCGGGAAGAGAGCCTCGCTGGAAAACTTCCCCGGCTGATCAAAGACATGAAGAAATCCTGAATGATCTGCCTTGAAAGAACCCCAGCTAAAACTGCACAAAAGGCAAACTCCTCTCATTGCTCGGGGGGGTATTTTTCTTGGATTCTTCCCCCAAGTGGAGAGCTGATTCTATCCTCTTAATAAAACTTTGCTTTGCTGCCCCCCACTCTGTCTGGTCTCCCTCTTCATTCGTCGGAGTGGCGGGACCGAGGACAGTGGGCACCAGAAAGCTGAGATAAGAAGAAAGTCCTGAAACACTATGACTTCCCTTTTCTCCTAATTCAACTGAATCTCACTGAGTAGGACTCACGCCACTAAATGGTCCTGCATTAGTCACACAGATTGGTAGGTTCCAAGTTTCAAATAGGCTCAGGCAGAGAATGCATTTCGTAGTTGTCCACATACACAGAAATCACTAAAGATGACATGGAATTGCGTTAGGAAGATCATGTGCTTTTGCAACAACTGTGAAAGGTGGACATTGTAAGTCAGATTTTTACCTTAACTCTATGGGGACCCAACCAGTCATGATGCTGTCCATTTCCACCGCTGCCCCTTTCACCCCCTTCATCATACCCTTCTCATCACCAAGTCACCAGCTGGAGAGCGCCTTCTGTTTCTCTCCACCCACGGACACGGCAGCTAATATTTACTTCTTACTCATGGATATCTTAATGAAAATCAGATTCTATGGCATTCTTAGTCCGTTGGAATAAATTTATTTTGAGTCTCTTGAAATATTTATATGTCCTATAGTTACACCTGAACTGCAATCACAAGCCAAGACAGACAGAATTGAAGGGACCACAGCAATCACAAAGAGGAGGTAAATGTTACCTTTAAAAACGTGTCTTTTTAATTTATGATCATATGATGTCAGAGGACCCAGATCCTGATTTCAGTAAATCTGACTGTTCAGTTGTTCCCTCTTAAGAAGTCACCTGCATTATCTGAGTTTGTAAATTTTAAATAGCAATTTCTCTTAGACCTAGAAATGTCAGGTAGAGTTATACAGCTCAAGGAAAGCCTGTGAGTTCTTTCTTTTAGTAAGAAAATATGCTGTTTTTATCATTGATGTTGATGGCGTGACAGGGTTCAGTACAAATCTCCTAGAATGAGCCACTTTGACACGTGGATTATTTTGAGCTGAAGACAACTGGGCTCAAAATACTCAGGAAGAGCTTTTTACCTCCCCCCTTAACTGCCTAAACGAATTTGAATAGGTCCAGTCCAGGAAGTGAGCGATCCGCAGAGATAAGTACAAAGCGTATGAGCCAGGTGTGGTAAGCTGAGGGGCAGCCGGACCGGTTCCTTCACATTCCTCCCTGTGTCTCCTCGGTCTCCGCAAGGCTGGGCAAACACTTGTTGGCCGAACATTTGCCCTTCCCATCTTCCTGTGAACTTTCTTTCTTCCCTTCGATAACATACAAGCCTCAAATTTAGATGAGCCCCTGACTGTTGGGGAGCCTCTCCTGTCTGTGTGGGGCTCCTGCATGAACAAAATTAAATGTTTTTCCCTTGTTATTCTGTTCTATGTCAACTTAATGACTAGACCACCCAAAGAACCTAGAAGGGAAGGAAGGACAAGTTTTTTCGCCCCAACAGATGAAAACTACTAGTACTTGTTTATTGCATTGTTTGTATTCCTCACAAGAACCACTACATTGTTAAATTGTTATTCAAATTTTATTATTGGTGTGGTTTTGATTTATCAAACCAATGAGCCCATAATCGAATATTTGACAAATAAATATACATTTTTGTTTTAAGTAAAATACCCAAGTGTGATACATCATTGCTTATGATTCCCTGTTGACTGAATTTTTTTGTTTATCAACTCTCACTCCAATGTCACTGGATAAAGTGTGTACTATTATTAGTTACATATCAGAAAAACATTTTAAACTTTTTTTAAAGGAGGTAACAAAGTTTGAACAGTCTTGATAAAAAAAATTCCGATATTTGTAATTGCAATTAGATCCAGAAGAACAAGTTAGAACTTCATAGTTTACACTGTGAAGCTATTTTCATAGGACGTAAAGTTCAATTTTAGTAGCAGAAGATTTATGGGGAAAAAATTTTTTTTAAACTGAAGTGTGGTTGACCCAGATGGAAGCAGTATTTAAGCTTTCTTTCTGGAGTTGGTCTTCCCATTAATTTCTCTCTCCGCAGACTCCATGAAACCACCTAATAGTGTCTTCCCAAATTAGATTTATTGTGCATCTTATCCAGTAGTTGACAAAATCCCTTAGAGAGTGGGTTTTATTCATATTTGCAACTTCCTTGACATTAGTTCAATGACGACCCCATAAAATATGGTCAATAAATTGTGTTAATTTTATAATAACAAAAACCGTATAACATAGGTAAGTGGTACAAAATAAAAACAAAAAAGAGCACCTGGGCGGCCCAGTCTGTTACACGTCTGCCTTGGCTCAGGTCATGATCCCAGGGTGGGTGTCGGGCTCCCCGCTGAGCGGGGGGTCTTCTTCTCCCTTCCCCTTCCCCCCTGTTTGTGAGCCTGTGCATTCTCTCAAATAAATACATAAAATATTTTTTAAAATGATAAAATAAAAACCAAAAAAGAAGTTGAAAGTTAAACAAGGATGGAAAGCGTGACGGAAAACAGAGGGGTTTTTAAGTGAGCAACTTGAAAGCAATCACCCAGTGGAGGCAGCGTGAGGATGAGACCGGTCCAAGGAGCAAAGACCAGTTTGAAAGGCTGAAATTGCCTTTTCAGTTCATGACATTAATTTGTCTGGAAAAAGGTTGTTCTGGATGACATTATTAATTTGGTTTACCTCCTGCTTGCTCCCCCAGTCTATCAACAATCTCACATTTAAATAAATGCTACAGATGCTAATGAATTGTACTTACCTGGTGGCAGAATGAAACAGCTTCAGTGACCTGGGGCACTGGTGCTTTGGAGGAAGGTAGGGACTCTGGACAAGGGCAAACACCCAGGGTGGAGAATTAGGGATCACCCAACCAAGACAAATTTCTGAGGCTCTCAAACAATGCCTTTCCCCTGACAGTGTGTTTTTTTGTGGTTTTTATAAATCTCTCATCTTCCAGACTTTTACATGTGCTTACTGTTTAGATTGTTTCTATGAAAATATTAGTTTTCCTGGTGTAGTGGTAATGTTTCAGGAGGGGGTTTTGTAAAGAGGGAGTAGCAATGAGTCCTTTGCTGTGATCATCCTTCACTTACATTTTTAGCTGTTAGGATACTGTTTAGAAGTTATTTCAAAACACAATACATGATAAAGATGTACATACAGAAATAAGAAATTTGCACAGAAGAATAAAGTAACAGATGTTCATTTTGTTAGGGTAATAAATATTAAAAATGTATTTTGACCAAAAATAAATGTCCCTAAAAATCTATTGAAGGAGAGCAGATTTTGTCACCCCAAAATATGTCTCTTTGGCATAAGGAGGATTATCTTTTTAAGATATTATTCATTTGAGAGAGAGTGAGATCACACAGGGATCCTGATGCAGGG